ACTTTTTAAATATTATCAGCAGGAATAAAGACTAAATCAATGAATCAAAGTTACGTTATTAAGTTAAATTTCTTGGGTTGTTTTTATTGATCAGAGTGATGTGACTGCCCAAGTTAAATATTTTTTTACATCAAAATTATACCATCTGACGATTTTGCAACTTATTCTATTCCAACCGGGTGCGCAGGCTATTCTGCTACTTAAGAGTTTTCGCAAGATATAGAGAATGCTATCGTCAGAATGATGGTGGGGAGATATCTTCAATGCACTTGTGTCTGTGGGGCATAACATTTTTTTAATTACGGCTCCATAGTCTAGTGGGATGTCACGAACCAACAGTTTTGATGCGAACTTATTTATGCAAAATACCTCCACATATCGTGTTTAAAAAGCTGAATTGGTCCTATTACAAGCAAACTAGATAATTCGCAAAGAACAAAGCCTGCTTAATACCCTTTAAATTCTAAACGTAAAAAGGGTTAAATGGCTTTGACGAACAATGAAGACATCCATTTGTGTATCAGAATACTGTTTTCAGCACTCTACTTTATAATTACACATAATCCCATACCTTCAGCTTCTTTCTGGACCACCTTCAATTATTTAGTTCCTTATCCACTCATGCCTTGCTTACATTTGTTTTCTTTAATATATATTAAAATGCTCTTGCTTAATAAGTACCTTAAAACAGAGAAATGGACTAATTGATTATACCTTAACTATTCCTCTGCTTCTCGGCCTTTCCTTTTCTTACACCCTTGCTCAGCCCCCTTGAGATACGCCGCCGAAAACAGATATGGAGCGGGTGACTTCGTCCTGCACCATTATTAGAGCTTCACATATTCCTCAGGGTCGTCAGGTTGCGGTTTCTAGAAGCTCCCAATTTCACATAGATCTATTCTCGACCATCAGTTACATGTTGCAACGCAACCTTCATAAAGTGCAAGAACTGTGATATTGACAATACGTTTCTTACAGAACCATCTACATCTATATATTATAAACTATTAACCCAGCTGAATTAATTTTTTAGACGATATTCTTATTGTTGTTCACCGTCTTCAAGACAATTCATTTTCCGTTGGTTCTGTAGGGTCGCGTTGTTATCTGTCTGTCTGTAGTAGATTTATGTCCCTTTAGACATAGTTATAGGTAGGAGATGGGGCAGATTGTTGTATTTAAGTTAGCGTTATATATGTCGATGTAGTCACGTTCCGATTCCCCTCAATACAGATTCTATCCAAATAATGAATTATTCATTTTAATTGTACGTTCTCATTAGATATAGAACTAACAATGGTTAGACTTTTGTTTTAACAAGATTTGATTTTCTTCAGGATCTTTACGTCAATGAAATTTTTTCATTTTGTTTCACTTAGAATCCACTCTGTTTTCGGTATAACCTAACCTTCAGTTCCTACTGTGGGCTTATAATAATAATAATAATTTATTGTCAAATAACAGTTTGTTACATGAGGCATGCCGGTTTACAGGTAATATCAAATTGTTACAGAAGTTACAATTTTCACTGTTGAAAATTACTCTGCTGGGTTGATATTTCATAAGATATGATATATATGTCTGTCTCCCTTTTTTCGAGGCTGTTTGAACTCTCTTTTTTGTTTTTGTTTTTAGATTTTATAGGGTATAGAGTGGGCTTCGTTTTTAGTCAGTTATCTAGTTTGCTTGTAATAGGATTACTCGGTAGGAAGTGGAACCAATTCAGCTTTTTTAACATGATTTAAAGTTGTATTTTGCATGAATATGCATTCTATAACACGGACTGTGTCTTAATGCAGGTTCATTGTGAAGTGTTATACGATGACCATCCTAGTCACAATTTTGTTAGGCTGTCCGTGATTTTACTAACAAATTGTATTTTAATCTGTTTTCTTCAACCGTGGTTGGAAATGAGCGTTATTTTATGTAATTACGAAAAAGTTTGGCTTTGGAAGGTTTCATTAGGCTAAAGTGGTCGTTCCAAGATGAAAAAATAAGGCGACGATTAAAAATAAGTGTAAATCACGTGATTTTACGGTAATACTGAGGTCATAATTATATAAGCGTGTGAAAACTTTGCAATAGCAAATGTTACTGTGTCAACAGTTTACAATACTACCGCATTTGTTGAACCGCAACAAGTTTCTGTCCTAAAAATGTCATTTTCTCCATGCATTTATCAGTAACCTTAAAATATTTTACTTGCATGTATTGCATAATCACTGGCACAATTACCCATATGATCAACTTTAAGTTTAACCCATCTGTTTGATTGCAAATCTGTCCTTATTGTTATTTCCGTTACCCGTTACCGTTGTGGTAATACGAAAAGCGGCTTGATTGCTGCCGACATTCCGTTGTCTATTTGTAATTTGACATGCGCCTACTGAGAGTAAATTGACTGATTGGTTTGTATATTATTAGGCGCAATTTTTGAATCCCAATTTGTTATCTCTGAGAGCTTTATCTTTGACTTGAGTGCTGGCCGACTCGTAATTACTAAAGTGAGCCCTCAACGGGACTGGGAATTGCTAGTTCTTATATTGTATTCATTATTTATTTTTCCAAATAATCACAATTCAAATGGTTTAGTTGGTTATGGGAGGAACAGAAAATGTTTCTCTTTGACAGACTTTCGTATCTAAGAGCAGTGGATAACTCATCGGTTTGATTAACGACTAGCGGACATTATGTTTCATAATAAAACCTGGGTAATTTATTCCAGAAACACGGAATTCAAAAATTTATTATTTTCAGAAGTCCAGTAAGATGTCCAGGTGTTTAAAGTGAGGCTGCTACATACGTTTTCAACGATACCACCTATTATTTCATCTAATCATATTCCCAAGCACCATTTATTTGAGTGCGTAAATACATGACCTTTCTTATTTCGATGCTTTAGTGGCGTTTATCGGTCCCAGTCTGCACTGAGTCACAGACATTGGTTTCATATGCAGAAGAAAGCCCTTATAAAATCCAAAGTTAAAAGTGACGATCCAACGATAAAAAGTTACCCGAAAATTTTATTGAGACAGTGGTCATCCACAAATGTTCTAAGACCTCGAGTGAAATGGTGCATACTAGTTTATAGTAAATACTGTTTCTTGGACCACGAAAATTCCTTCTTCCAAATGATCTTGCCGTTTATCATTTTATGACCCATTTCTAACGCAACATAATCCTTCTAACTCATTATCTTCGAATCAAATGGCGGGTTATAGCAAGTGGACTTGAGAGAACCACGTTTTGGATGATGCAATGACAGTAGCATGTTGTTGATGTTATCCGGTCAACGGAAGATGATTGCTTTACATAGACAGTTGTTTATAAATGCTTGTATGTTTTTGATAATCGTGAGGTTTTCTTTTCCATACACACAAAGTTTTTAACATTCAATATTAGTGGAAAATATAATGATTGCGTAGAGTAACGAAGTGACTTAAAAATATAGGTATGTCTTTGCATCACTCAGATGTTTTCAGGCAACTTTTGATCATTCAGTCCGAGTCGTTATAAGCTCTCGAGTGCGTTTGGCAAGCACATTCAACTGTTGCATTATTTTATATAGTTGAAATTGTCAGTCAATTGAAGTTAGACCTGGAAGCACTGGAAGGCCGTTTCGTCCCATTGTGGGACTCCTCAGAAGCTCGCATCCATGATCCCGCCTCGCGAGATTCGAACCCAGGACCTATCAGTATCGCGCGCGAGCGCTCAACCTCTAGATCACTGAGCCGTTGCATTATTTGTCGGCTCTCTGTAATTTAGACATTTAGTTCACTTTGTAAATTTACATGAGTTTGGTTGAGCGCTATTTAGTATTCCTGTATCTGACTCCAATCAGAAAGCATGATGTTTGTTCTCGAAATACACGTGCCGCTAATCCTCATATATAATTAAATCACGTTAGTGAGTAACGGAATAAAATAGGCCAACTAAGAAATGGATTGCAAATGTGTATGTTTTACACAATCGTTGACACAGACAAGCAATATGCTCCTTTTGAAAAGGTTACGAGTCCATCTAGAATCGAAGAAACGAACAAAGGATTAGCGCCACAACAACAAGACAAACTAAACTGTTCAGATGCCACCCAACCCTTGTAACTGAAGTGAGAAGGTCAGGTTCAGGTGAGAATTTATATTCTACAAAACACCAGAAGCACGGACGGCCAAGCCCATAGCTCAAGCGTATATATACAGCCTAAAAATGTCCATGAGAAATGTCACAAAACAGCGTATTGAAAGAGGCAACGAATCAATGACATTTATGGTCCTTCCAAGTGGGAAATACAATCCCAGATTAAAAATGGGCATTTTGGTGCGTAAACGAAAAATTCAAATTTCCAAAATAAAATTACAAAAGTAAGACGTTAACTAAGTTATTTCTGAGGATCTATCATCCTCAACACGATCAAAAAACGTAAGCGAAGAAAGCAAAAAGGAGAGAGCGAAGCGAAAAGAAATGACAGGCGGTAGAGTTTTCAAACTCGCCTTTTACACCTCCTGTCACTCTGTTTTGATTCGCCCTCTCTTCTTCTCTTTTTTCGCTTTGTTTTTCCGATCGTCTGTATGGGTCGACGATTGTATAAAATGTACACATTCGAAGTCCATTTCCTAGTTGGCCTATTTTATTCCGTTACTCACTAAAGTGATTAGCGGTACGTGTAGTTCGAGAACAAACATCATGCTATCTAATTGGAGCCAGATACAGGGTCACCAAATCTGATTCGAATTGAAACTATGGTAGATAACAATTATCTAACGTCTGGCTCCGAAAACTGCATAGTCTATATATGGTCTGATGGAACCCATACATATAACCCAAAATATTCTCTCATCGTTATGAAGCTGGATGAAAATATTAATTAGTAGATATAGCTCGCACAAGACTCTGGTTTCCGAACAACTCTGAAGAGGTCCTGAAATTATAGAGTAACTGTGGTAAAATACCCTTCAGCACTTTATTTCATGTTCATTCTTTTAATTTGTTCTTTTGTTTTAGATTTTAGTATCAACTGGATTTGAACTGTTCGCAATTATTCCCATTTACTTACAGGAAAAATTGAGTATTCGTAGTTTAGGCAACGTTTTGCTGCTTGACAATTTACCTGTAGGCTTTATATTCTAAGGTATAGATATGCTCAAAATACTAAATACTGTACTGTTATTTTTCGATTGTTTTTCAACTGGAACCTTTTTCGTACTCTTGATTTACCTCTTTACCAGACTTTGTACACATTTGCTTCATTTTTCGTCATCAAATTGTCATTTAGATGTGATAATTTATCAAAGCCGTGCCGTTATCATTTTTCTTGTAGTATTTGTATACTTCATTGGTGTTTTGACATGTAAAATAAACGATAAAATTTTGGTCCATACAATGCTGAGGAATAGAAGGCAGTTAAATACTCTGTTTTATACACTTATCCTTTTCATTTTCGCTCTATGCTCATTATCCTCAGTTTTATTTGTACCGTATACCAGTTTTGCTATATTTCTACTCTCCACCTCGGTCTTCTTGTTATTTTCAGACTTGTCTGTATTTTTTATTGTACTGGAGGTAAGCTGTTCGTTTTCAATTTCAATCACTTTATTTTTAGTACTATTTGTTGGAAATTGAATTGGTGAATTATGAACATGCTAAACGCCATTGTTTACTCAGTCATTTATTTTCAAACCAATTATTTGTGGATCATATGCTTGGTATGTTTCTAAAAACTTCATTGTTCAGCATCAGTACTACATCAAAATATGCATACTTGGAAAGTATCTTTAAATGTACTTTGATGGAGCAAATTATTTACATTATGATTGTATTTGTTTTCCTACCATCATTTATGAGGATATTTGCGTCGTATGCGAAAAGAATGTACGGTGAACAAAAAAAGTGCTTAGTGTCGAAGTCAGTGATGTTGAATTTTTTTCTCTTAACTTTCCGTGTGTTTTTGGTTTTAGTTTGCTTTGATATGCCTAAAAGTTGGTGGAGATCAAAGGGCACTAAACAATTGTTTCAACTTGTATTATTATATGGCTACTGTAATGATCCATAATAGTTACTCAGTGAACTAAACCAGTTGGCTCAAATCACGTATCTAGTATTTACAATGCTAATTAGATTTCGATAACGTAAAAACTTACCCGCTTCTGTGACTTGTGTGGCCTTCATTGAAGAACAGTTAATTACCAGAAGTTATCAGGACCTTTCTAGTTCACTTGCTGATTAACACAAAAAAACAATTTCAGTTTATTGGATCCGACGTTTCTTCTTTCAGTAAAATAGAATGGAGTATTTAAAATAACTTTTGTCTAAATTTTAACTAACAGTTTCACAGTAATTGGGCGTCGAGTTAATTTAAGACGTTGACGAGTAAAATTGTATTTGTAAAATCTCAGCAACTGAATTTTAAGTCAATTCAGTGTTTCACTTGGTAATCTGGTCGAAGCTTTTTCAAGGAAATATAATCAAACATCAAAATTGTCGAATATAACTAAGTACGTGTTTCTCCAGTTAACATGCCACCCAATCATGTTAACACTGTTGAAAGTAAGAATTTGCTGTAATGTGTGTCAGACATCTGGTGTGTAAAGAAAAATGTGTTATAATAACAGTTGTATTTGTAAGTGGATTTAAAGTAAGAGGAGAAATTTCGCCGATTACATACCGCCTCTGATCGACGAATTTTCTGATGAAAACAGGCAATTTTACAGATGATACGAGTCAAGCACGTTACAGCATGCATTAAATGAAGTTAAATAAAAATGAAAGAAATGTTTTTGTTATTGTGTTGACTCTGTTTAAGAAGTGTAAAATATGGTTGTTACTGATGTAATATATTGTCCAGTTGTTTTACTGGGTTTTAGTAATTGATCGCTATAGTTTGTATTCAGCCAGCTTAGTGAAATTTGATTTTATGATACTCTCACGACAGTAAAACGAATTTGTTTTTATCTGTTTATCGTGAAGTATTTCAGTGGATCCTTTTGGTTACATAATTTTTGGCGTACATAGAAAGATGAATCCGATGTTCATCTTATTGTGCTGACGCCCGACCGTTGCTGCTACCTTGACGTGGTGGTCGGGCTTGCCTATCGTGATGAAGCAATCGAGCTATGCTGGCTGGAACAATCGTTCCTCGAGGTCCTACCATGCCAGACAGGTTGATTGAAGAGCGGTAAGACTAAAAGCAGCAATCCCAAGGTCTGAAGGCGAAGTCGTACTGCCGACTGTACAGAGGTGTGACGGCAGTAAGGTGTTTCCTTCAGACAACCAGCATGACAGCGATGCTGCCTTCTCACAAGGAGGGGTGGGGTTAAAAAAGGTCGACCCTAAAAATGCACACCTCGCCTTATCCCACGGATTTCCGTCTCCGGCGGTAAGGTCCTTTGAAGAACGGAGCTAACACGTCAAAAATCCCCACAAAAAGGCCGTGCGTGACCGGCCTCAAGCAGTTGTCCCTTGGGCACTGCGGTCACGCTCCCAGGTCGTTCAGACCAACACTAATCCAACTTCTTTTTCAGGTCCCTCATGAAATACCCTTCCACGGTGTGGGCAGCCGGGAAGTGATAAATGCCCTCATACCCGTAACAGCACACGAGACCAAGTTGGTCACATTCAAATCCTTCCTACACCTCCTAATAACTCTGTTATCTCCACGACTAACCCTTTCCACGTCCTTTTATCACCTCGCACCGCTAGGGCAAACGATTCGTGTACACGGAACGTTATTCCTGGTCTCCTGAAACATCGCTCTAAACTACATGTAAGAACTTTTAATGTCCGAACATTGTGCCAAATAAGACAACAGGCTTCCTAAGCTAGGACTCTAGAATCTTACACCACCGATGTATGCTGCGTCTCCAAAACGCGCATACAAGATCCGAGTAGCGTCATTCATTTGACCTCACCTAATCAAAATAAAGAACCATCTCGATACACGCTTCGTGTATCTGGAAGCCCTGATGCTGGTCTCTGTGGCCTCGCTGGAGTAGGTATAGCATTAAGTCCTAGGGCAGAACTAGCTGTTTTAGACTGGATCCCAGTAGACAGTCGTCTATGCGCTGTTTGACTAAACGGATCAGTAAGGACTCAGAAAGATAGGGAAACTCGTCGTTGTCTCTTCGTCATCTCTGCCTACTCTCCCACTGACTGTAGCTCAGACGATATAAAAGATGAGTTCTACAGGAAACTTTCTGACCTCCGGAAAGCTAGGCGCCCTGATGTAGTAATAGTGGCTGGTGACTTTAATGCTGAAGTAGGTAAACTAAGTGAAAGGGAAAAACACCTGGGTGGATCTTATGGTGTCGTGGCTAAAAGGACAGATAATGGCAACCGTCTGTTGCAGCTGTGCTCAGATAACCGCCTATTTCTTGCAAATACTAACTTTAAGCATAAGGAAAAACATTTTTTGACATTATGACCCCCGAATTCGTCCCAACGTTGGACCCAAATAGATCACATCACTCTCAGCCACCGATTGGGCGGCTCGATAGAAGACTGTCGCTCATTCTGGGGCACATGTTTAGATTCAGATCATACTCTTGTGCGAGCACGTATCTGTCTGCGACTTACTGGACGTAGGAAAGACACTGCAGGGAAGCCTCTAAGAGTTCTACTTAATGATTAGCAAGCTAAGAATATATTTCAGGAACAACTTGAAAAACAGTTAGACAGACATGTAAGTTGTGTCCACCACGAAGCAGCGTGGAATGACATTCGAAAAGCTGTGGATACAGCTGTGATATCCGCTAGTAAGGTAAGCCATATGGTCAGGGAGAAACAGTGGGTCTCGGCAGCATCTATCGCACTGATAGATGCTCGAAAACTCATCCCTCCTGGCTCTATACATAACGAAGAGCGGAGTCAGCTTAAGCGAAGGCTAATAAGAAGCCTACGCAATGATCGTGAACAGTGGTGGGTAGCGAAAGCAAGAGAGATGGAAAAGGCAGCGGCAATAGGTAGCAGCAGACAGCTATTCAGATTTATTAAAGAAACCGGCATTAGGAACCCAACTATTAGCGAAACTATCTCAGACAAAGACGGGCATATCATTCGTTCTCAATCCAGGAGAATGGATCGATGGCAGAACACTTTAGGGATCAGTTCAACTGGCCTTCAGCCACACTTCAGTTATCCACGATCCCCAGTCGTCCTGAATGGCAGATTGAGGTAAGTCCTCCAACTCTCTACGAGGTTGAAAAAGCTATAGGAAATCTAAAGCTAGGGAGAGCCGCAGGCCCTGACAAGTTTACCCCTGAGATTTTTAAGGATGGTGGTATAGTACTAGCAACGAGATTGACTGAGGTCTTAGGTAGAATCTGGGAACTGGACGAAATTCCGTCTGACTGGTCTCAATCACTGATTGTGCCAGTCTATAAGAAAGGACAAAAGTCCTCCTGTGACAATCACAGAGGAATCAGTTTGACTAATATATTGTGTCTAAAATATTAGCTTCAATAATACTTGGACGCCTAAGCAAAGCTCGTGAAGAGCAGACTAGAGAAAACCAGGCTGGTTTTCGACCTGGACGTAGTTGCATAGACCAGATATTCACTCTACGTCAGGTCCTAGAACATAGACATACATTCAGACGTCCCACAATAGTAGTATTTCTTGACCTTAAGGCGGCATTTGACTCCGTTGATCGTGAGGTTCTATGGCAGTGTTTGTCAGTGAAAGGAGTACCAAAGAAGTACATTTACCTCTAAAAGGCTATCTACTCGAACACAACTGGTCGAGTAAGAGCCTATGGCGAACTGTCATCAGAATTGGTTACCTCAAGTGGTGTTCGTCAGAGCTGCCCACTCTCCCCATTCTTGTTTAACTTTGTCGTTGACATGCTTTTAGAGGTATCACTTTCATCATCTCAATCTCCAGGAGTTGAACTTTTACCAGGAGGCTCACTTGTTGACTTAGAATACGCCGACGACATAGTTTTATTCGGTGAAGACGCTGACAAAATGCAAAGTCTTCTGACCACTATAAGCAACAATGCAGGCATGTTCGGGATGCGATTCTCTCCCTCGAAGTGCAAAATGTTACTTCAGGATTGGGTTGCATCGGCACCTGAACTAATGATAGGGAGTGAAGTAGTTGAGCGTGTTGACAGCTTCACTTATCTTGGGAGTCTCATCAGCCCTTGTGGTCTGGTGTGTGACGAAATCTCAGCACGGATACAGAAGGCTCGTCTAGCTTTCGCCAACTTGCGTCATTTACGGCGTAGGCGAGATATCCGTCAAGCAACAAAAGGACGGGTTTACTGTACAGCAGTCCGTTCCGTCCTACTTTATGGAAGTGAAACATGGCCGATAAGAGTAGAGGATATTCGTAGGCTACTAGTGTTCGATCATAGGTGTCTTCGACGCATTGCTCGTATATCCTGGGACCACCGGGTAAGTAATGCAGATGTTAGGAAACGAGTACTAGGTAAGGATGGCAAATCGATTGATGAAGTAGTGAAACTTCATTAGTTGAGATAGCTGGGACATATGTTACGTATGCCCAACCACCGACTGCCCCGACGTGCAATGCTTTGTGGTGTAGGAGCAGGTTGGAAGAAAGCTAGGGGCGGCTAGACCAAAACATGGCATAAATCCATGAAGTCACTGACAAGTGGACTGGGCCATGTTGGTAGGTGTAGACTACCTGGTTGGGATTCGCGAGATGACAGCAACCGATGGTTAGAGACCTTGAATGACATGGCTCAATATCGTTTGCAATGGCGAAGGTGTATCCACTCTTTGTGTTCTACCAAATTCTAATCTGAATTCTTCATGTCTTTATATTTTTCTCTTTCCAAATTTATTTCACTGTACTATACTCCTTCAATAATTTCTTCAAACCCTAATCTTTTGGATTTCTGATTATACTCCTACTACTTCTACCACTATGGGATTTGAATCGACAACTGCATCTCTGTGCTAATGTGGTATGGCAACTCGAACTGATGTACGTACGTACGAAGTTCTACGTTGTAACTGACTGACTGACTTATTGTGCTGACGAGGTATGGCAACTTGAACCGATGCTTAAATGTGCCTGGTCCTACGTTGTAGCCGACTGACTGACAGAAAGACAGACTATGGTTTAGGTCAATAGGTAAATGCCCATGCAACAGTTATCACATTTTTCAAAGATTCGTATTGTCCAGCGATTATACAATTGGTAAATGGGAGGTATGCTAGTCGTTACTGTCTCAATTTTATTGATTGGGTTATTTTATTGTAGTTCATTAAATTTTATTTACTACAAGCTTTATTCAGTTTTCGGGAATATCTATTATAACTGCCTAAAAATGCTTGTTTCATCATATATGATGTGTTGATACACCTTAATATCAACTTGATAATAGCGAACCGAAATCCATTGCTTCAAGAAAATTATTTACTTTTTTCAAGCGAATTCAAATTTTGTTGGAAATTTGTTTTTAATTCTTTGCAAATTGCGCTTAGTTTACAGTGACCGATACATCTTTGTACAATATTCTGTTGTGTTCGTCTTAATGTGCTCTCACGCGTTTTTTATTTCTCACATAATGTGCTTAATATTCATTTTATCTTCATTGTAGTAAGGTGGTATCCAGCTCGACACGAAAGCGTAGACACTCATACTCATCCGGCCACTCTTACGTGGAGTATCGACGTATGAATGTCCATAACCTTACTGGTTATGTTGTCAATCCGAATTGTCATTATAAGTGTTGGTCTACCACTTTTGTGATATTTGTCAGCTTGATAATACTTCATTTAAATAATCGTTATTCTGAGCGAATTAGTTCTTTCAAGCACAATTCAAGTGAGAATGAAGTTTTTCCTGTCTTATATCATATTACTGCTTATGAAGTTACGAGTATCTTCCGTTTTATTTACAATATATTCCACATTATCAATGCCAATTTAGTGGTCTATTTGTTCCTCGGATTGTTCTTATTTAAGCGTATCAGATTGAATAAACCTATTAACTCACAATTGCGTAACTTGAATATCCCCAAAATAAAAGAGACCTTGATTAGTGACCAAGTAAAACAGTCTCCAGTATTACCAAAATTTTCAAAAAAATTGAATGATATTCCTCTTCAGTCACGAAAACGGATATACTGTTTACATAAAGTAAGTGTTATAGTTTTCACGTTTGATGTACTTGAATAATAAATAGTTTTTTTCGTAATTCATTTACACGGAACTAATGCTTATTACAGCATTCAATAAGGATTCCAGTGATTTGCGAAAATATGTCAACTAAAATGAAGTAAATACCTGATGAGCTTGTAATGCCGCTAATTTTCATTTTGTAACAATTTCAAATTACCTGCATAGGTTTTCCGGTATGTTTCGGATATACAGTAACGTCATAGGATATTCTTAATAATAAACTTTTCATAGCAAAATCTTTAATTCAAAGTAGGTTATTAAAGGATGTCAGATGGAGAACACATTCATCTTTGTCCTTTACATTTTGTTTAGTTCTCGGATTTAAAACTTTTGTCTGTTTACTGGGGTTTTTTGGTATGGGATTCTTAAAGACATGATTGAAGTTTGATAGTTTTATTCTTAGTATTGTGACTAACATTGTCACTACCACTCATGTTAAATTTTTAACGTGGATATATGGTATTACGTAGATGTAGTAATATCCCAATTCAGTTTATGCTGTCAGCTTCCCGTTTAATCAATTGAACTGTCTATTGGTTCTCTGATTGTTTATTGTAAGATCAAGGAGTTGAAGTTTAACTCGTCTTCACTCTTATGAGTTCTTTATTATTTATTTATTTGAACACAATAAATAGTGGTACAAGGGGGCACCAGATATATATGCGCCACACAAAACAATGAGAATAAGAAGAGAAAAAGACGGTAAGGTGCTTATAAGAAAAAGGAACAAAGGGACAATAACAACCACAGATTAGTGTATGTTAGTGTAACGATAAGAATAATAATGGAGGAAACAGAAATGTACAACCAGAAGAACTCTTTCAGTTAACGGTTATAACGACGCTTTATGAAGAAAGTAAAAGAAAGTTACAGCAAGATCGCCACTGGCTTTTAATCTGAGCCATATCTGATAACGTCTCTAGCCACTGTGTTGCACCATCTCTCGGACCCCAACCAGAGAGTCGGGAAGGATCAACAGAAGCCAACCCTTTGCAGCTTTCTTTCATACTACGACACCACGTCATACACTGACCACCTCTCCGCTTTTTCCAACCAGTCCCAGAGTAAGCAAATAATGCACGACGAGGAATTCTCTGGGACGACGTTCGTAAAACATGTCCAAGCCACCGAAGTCGATGTTTCGAGATGGTGACACCAATTAAATCATAGTCTGTGCGCCCGAACACACGATGCCGAACTTTTGCATTATTATCATGGTGTTTCCACTGGATGTCAGCAATCCTTCGGAGACAACGATGATCGAACACAGAGAGTCGTCTAACATCCTCAACTTGGAGAGGCCAGGTTTCACAAGCATAGAACAAAACGCGTTGTAGATCCGACCTTTTACAGCCAGACTAACATGACAAAGGCGCCAAAGATGGGCATTATCTCACAGTAAGACTACCATCCGCATACTCAAGGTCGAGAAGTCTTTTTCCAGGCAACAGATCCACACCGCCATTACTTACGTCCATCACAGCTGTTTCCAGAATGTCATCGATGGCAAAGTTGAAGAGGAATGGTGAGATTGGGCAACCCTGCCTAACCCCGCTGCTCGAATGGAACAAGGGAGAAAGGTGGTTGTATGCCCTCACTCTGCCTGAGGTGTTCGTATACAGGGCCTTTAAGATGTTAATAAACTTCCCAGGCACACTCTTCTTCAATAGAAAATCTCAGAGAACAGTCCTGTCCAACGAATTGAAGGCAGTCCTGATATCAAGAAACACTACGATTGTTGACCTGTGATAAGTATGACGGTGTTCTAACATTTGGCGGAGGGTGGAGATGTGATCAATGCATCCTCGACCAGAACGAAAACCAGCCTGCTCCTCGCGAGTCAATCTTTCTCGGGTTTTAAACAACCTACGAAGTATGGCAGAAGCCAATAGTTTGGGCGCAATCGGAAGTAGACTTATCCCCCGATAGTTGTTACAGGAACAACGTAAACCCTTTTTAAAGATAGGGATAATTATCGACTCGTCCCATGATGCTGGAACACTTTCTAGCTCCCAAACCTTTGTAAACAAATCGGTCCGTTCCTTAACCTGAAAGTCACCACCATCTTTAAAAAGGGACAGAGGTAAGTCATTTGGGCCTGGTGATTTATAGCGTTTCAAAAGTTGTGGTTCCTTGCGGACTTCCGCCTCATTTGATGGATCAGTCGTCACTGGTCATGGAGGGCAGGACAACTTGATCGATGTTGCCGGAGCAGCAGGCCAGTTGAACTGCCCTTCAAAAAATTCCTCCCATCGTCCAAGACGTAGAGAGATGTTAGTGATTGGCATCCCGTCATCCTCGTAGATTGTTTCACTCACACCAGACTTCTTGCTGCCAGTGGCTCGGATGAGTTGGAAGAGCTTCCGGCAGTTACCAGATGCAGCTGCTGCTTCCATCTCATTAGCACGCTCCGACCACCAGGCTTCTCGGTCCTTACACAAGCTTTGTCCAATTTCATTACGTAACAGCCTTCGTTTGTGGTCAAACTCACAGTCACCCGGAGTAGACCGACGGGCTTCGATCAGTTGTAAGAGGCCAGAAGAAACCCAGTGCTTATAAGCGGGATGTTTCGTGAAGCCGCAAGTGACTTTACTCGCCATTTTCATGGCGTCATGCAGTTGCAACTAATGCTCATCTATACTTTTCGGTGGGATGGTAGCTAACCTAGAAGCTAAGCTCTGTTCGATACTCACTTGCAACAGAAGTTTCAACCAATTTACTGACGTCAATCCGTCGGCCACTGAAAAGTAAGGTAAGATTGGCGCAGACCAGGGCATGATCAGAGTCCAGATACGTACTCCGAAATGAGCAGCAATCTTGCACACAACTACGTCAGAGGTAGCTGATCGCTATATGATCAGAGTTCAGGCTTGAGATGGAGAGGAAGGACGCCAGGTGGCACATCGGCTATGACTGTGCCGGAAGTTAGTGCTAGCCAGAAATAGGTCGTATTCTGCGCACAGTTGCAGTAGACAATCCCCGTTATCTGTCCTGCGACCAACAAGTCCACATCAGCCTCTTAAATGACTCTCTTTTGTGCCTAGACGCCCTACCCGTGCATTCAAGTCTCCGGCTAATACTACAATATCTGTCAAACGCACTTTCTGAAGAACAGTTAATTGGTGGTAGAATTCCTCCTTGATTGCATCCGGGCTGCAGTCTGTCGGAGCATAGGCGGAGATGACAAAAAGACATCGTTTCTCACGCCGATTTCTTATCACTTTGATGGAGACAACTTTTATAACAAACGACGTATTGTTAGGTAGTACCTTAGTTATTTTAAGTACTGATCATCGTTTAATATTCAACTTATTTTTTACAAATACTTTTCGGTTTACTTTATCAAGTGGAGTTTACAGATTTTCTGATAATCTTATTACACTATTGAGATTTTCTATAGTCTGCCATGTCGATAGTACCGACTCACTACTTTCTAAGCTCCTGTTTCATTTTCGATCATATAACAGATCCGTTATAATATACTACCATAATAATATGACTAATGATATTCAAGATATATGGGAATTATATATTAACTGCTTCAAAATTTGACAAAAGACGGTCAATACTCAGCTTTTGTTGAGTTTTTTTATTCATCGGATTCTGCTGATACATCGTTTTAGCTATTTCACTCATTCTGAGTCTTATTTGCAACAGTCGATTCATATATTTTATGATCTTATTACTGAGAGGATGAAATGATTTGCATCCTGCAACATAGGTGAAATAGTGTACTTGTAATGATCGAAAACACAGGTGGGGACAACCAATGTATTTTAATACAAAATTACAGAGTCTATTGATAATATACAAGAGCCATACACCTAATACTTCGTTTGCGAATTTCCATCGCATTCTGTACGATTCTTCAAGTCCACAATTTCTTTCTATTTTCTCTTCTATCCTCAACTCGATCTTCTTAGCCTTCTGCTGCCAGGTTTCCCACTTCCGATCGGTGTTACATATTACTTATTTTGACAAACATAAATAGAATACACCACATTGACCATTTGAATTTCTCAGCGATGTATAATAATAATAATAATAATAATAATAATTATTATTATTATTATTACTATCACTGTTATTGGTATTATCACCATTATTATAAACTCATTCACCAGGTACTTGGGTACAAGCTAATAATAATTCCCGGTTGTGGAGTAGAGTCCGAACTTGAGACGGGGTGAATGGATGTTGAGCACCTTATCCACTAAACTACTTCGCAGTGATATGAAAAGGCAAAAATCTAATAACTTTATAGATTTTCATGTGAAAAGTGCATGTTTATCCGCGAAACTTTGTAAATACTACATACCAGATATGCTTTTCATGAAACTAAAACGATGTTTTTGTCAGACAGTTTTCGCATAAACAGTATTCTATTTTTTCCTGGTAAATTAGGATGATCCCGCTTTTTGTATCAATCAGTGTCTAGGATTTCACATATTCACTAAAAGAGGGAGCAGTCAAATTAAGAGTTTGTTTAGACCTTGTAAAATGGTTTAAACGTATTGAAAAAATGATTAGAACAGTAACTATTAATCGAAAGTAGTCAGTGGTATCACTCGTGATCTTTATTCTCGTCTAATTTGCACTATGTTATGGGTTGTGACAGTATAAATCACTCTATGATCATTTTAAGTCGTGAACAAGTGAATGAAAGCCCTTGCCATAATTCACAATACATTTTGCAGGGTTATATCAATAATACGTTGGTTATGGCTAGGAAGCTGACTATTTGGCATATTGAGGAGGTAAAGTTTACTTGTTAACGTTGCTTCCCAGTTCACTCTTTGTGCTATCAGCCGAACCCAGCTTTAGAAAACCAATTTATAGCAATCTGCTTGTCATAATAATCTATACAGTAGGTTTTAATCTAATTGAGATTCAGTTTAGTGAACCGAAGCTACATATATAATATGGTTTTAATATATTAACCAATCTCTGGCTACTTGCGTAAGTAGTTGTTGAGCAATAATGACACAGGTTCGATAGTTTTATTCAGTATACTTGAAATTTATGTTGGTGTTTATTAGTCACTCAGCCGTATGACATCACTATATGTTATTCTTGTCTTTAAACGACATGAGAGTATTGTCAGGTAACCCGTTGATTATGGATAAATGAACACTCGGGCTTCAATTGCAGCATCATGGCGATTATCCTCATTATTCCTCATTTCAAAAGTAGATCTCCAAGTTCGTTTATATAAGCTTTAGTTGTAAATAACAAATCAGAACGTATTAGCACATTATGGTAAAACTTCTTAATTACATTTCAGGACGACGACAATATCGATAGAAACGATTCCTCGTCTGTTTCTACATTTTCTAATACGTGTAAGAATAGCAATGAACGCCCATCCAATGTTTTGGACTTGGATATGTTGACTGAAAAGATTAAGCAGGTAAACACGTCTGCTCATGTATTTTAACACTAATTATATATATATATATATATATATATATATATATATATATATATATATATATATATATATATATATACTGAATTTGCTTTCTTGTTTATCCTTTAAATTCATGAAGTATGAATTTCCATTAAATTGTTGTTATGGTAGTAGCTTCCGAACTCCACTATAAATCGTGATGTTTTGTCCATATTTTTCATCTTTGTTACTTCCCACTGCAAAACCAACGAAGGATCCTCTCAGATTTTGTTATGAATCCAAAAACTAATTTTCCTCCTTTATTATTGGATCCCGTGTGACCTGGTCATTTAGTAATAGAAGCAGTTGTTTGTCGAATCCGGGATTGTGTAACTCTTTGTTCAGTTCAAACCAATGGTCTTCGCTCAACTGCAGTGAGCAACGACTGAAATTTCTTATTGGTTCACGAGCTCTTTCCAACCCGGATGTTCAACTACGGGTCAAAAACAGCAAGTTTCTATGGTTCTCTGTTATCTACTGTTGATTATGACTCGATTCATACGATAATATACACTACCTAATTGTACACCAACATAAATAAGGTAAAACGTATCTATTTAACAGTTTATACGTCAAACGGAAGCATGCAATTACAGGAATATAAAGCGAAGCGATAATTCAATTATTTAATAGTCATACAATAAAGATATGTCTAACCATTCTTGTTAGCGGGATATAGATTGGATTAAAGCACGCTCCGTGCGGAATTGTATTAGGGCGCTCTGATTGGCTATTTCTTATCCAATCAGTTCTAGTGGAGACTTGAAGAAGACTCTAGAATTTTCCTATATAAAAATTATAAATACACTAACGTTTTTCTTATTGTGATTCCTACTTCCATCCAACCTTTATATTTGGAATCTAATTACGTTTCTGTTCAACTGTGTTCCTGATTTGAGGACTTGTTAGGTGAGGTAGTGTTCAAGAATACTAAACAATAAGAATAGCTGGGTAGAAATGAGAGAAATTATAACAGTGGCGATGAGGAAAAAAGAAAACACTTAAGATACCGATATCAGATGGCCAACTCAACCGAATACTACAACAACAGCAAGCACATCTTGGTGTAAGAAGGAGGATGTTGGAGACTATGACGCAACAGCTTAGCATCCACTGCTCGAGTTCACACGCTTTTTCAAGTACTTCTTGTAGTGCAATTGCCAGCGGGATCCCAGAATTTATCTATGTCTCTGAAATAGAAAATACTTTCCTCACGTGGTTCAAGCGTTGGAAAGATACATTTAGAATAGCATTCTGTCAACAAGAAAACGCGTGGAAGACTCGATTGCTGATAAGTAAGTCGGAAAATAATGAATATACACGCTACGCAGACCATATATTGCAGAAGTTACCTCTAGAGCTCAGTTTCGAGGAGACTGTAACTCACTTGTCAGGGATATTCAGTGAATCATCTTCATTGTTTAGTACTCGATATCAGTATTTAAATTTGGTGAAACGCGAAGCTGTTGATTATGATGCTCTAGCAGATGTTGTCAACAAAGAGTGTGCACGGTTCAAGTTACCCTCGTTGACAGAGGACCAATTCAAATGTCTAATATTCATCAAAGCTCTTCAGTCACCACAAGGTGCTGAAATTAGGACTAAACTTTTAACTCGACTGGATCAAGATCCAAACTTCACATTCAGAGTATTGACAGATGAGTGTAAACGGCTACATAACGTCAGACACGACAATGAGTTAATTGGACAAGTAAATCCGAATTTAACTTACACTAGTGTCAATGCTATCAGTAGGTTAACGACTGCCTGTTGTTTATGTGGTGATTGGCATTATGTACGATTCTGATCATTTAAGAAGCACAAATATCAGGTGTGCAACAGACGTGGACATAAAGAAGGTCACTGTCCACCGAATCGTACGTTCCATTCCAAGAAAAAAGTCCTCAACACCTTGTGAAATCATCAGAATCTAAATTACTTTCTCTGATAGCAGCTTTTCAGACAGAGTATGACATTCGGATGAAGTGTGTTACTATCCGAATTGACGGCATATCAACAAGTCTTTAAATTGACACAGCACCTGATATTACCCTAGTTTCTAGAGAAACAGATAACTTACTTGGGAAACGGCCAATGAAGCCGTCTGAGAAGACTGCTGAAAACGCATCAGGAGGAGTGCTAAAACTGGTTGGCGAATTACAGTGTGAATTTTCTTTCAATGAAAATAACTGTAAAGGGATATGCTATCTAGTAGACCGGCCAAACCTTGATCTTCTTGGTCTAGATATATTAGAAAAACTTGGATAAATAGATATACCCATAAACAGTATCTGCAACGTGTTGTGTTCATGATTGGACACCTCGATACTTGCATAAAAGATAGGTGAAAGGCTGGTAGAAAAGCTAAAGAGAAAATTTGCCTCTTTTTCAGAATAGCCTTGGTCACTGCATCAAGATAAAAGTTCATTTACCAGTGAAACCAGGTGCCAAACATATTCTTCGTTCGAGACGTCCTGTATCATATGCTGCTCCTGAACGAGTCGATCAGGAACTTAATCGTTTACAACAAGCTGGTGTAATATAACCAGTCAACTACTCTGCATGGGCCGCAGCGATCATAGCGATTAAAAAGGTCAATAGAACTATATACATATGTGCTAATTTTCCGACCGATTTAAACGCTGCATTGGATTTATATCCGTATCCGTTACCAGTTCCTGAAGACTTGTTTGCTAATCTTAATGGTTGAACATGTTTTGTGAAAATAAACCTCTCCGATGCCTATCTGCAAGTAGAAGTCGATGATGATTGTAGAGAGCTTCTGACTATCAGCACTTATCGAGGGTAAAAATTAACATAAACGTCAGGATCTGAGACCAGTTTGGTTTTCTCAGGTTTGCTTTTCTAGAGCTATAGTTGGACGTCGATGTTATTGAAGTTAACAGTTTTGACACTACGTTTATCGAATTGATTTTTATGTCATTGTCACAATAGAGTTTTTGACGTTTCCTTATAGACTGGGACGATCGGCGATTGAGACGAGTCAGATGGAATTACATCTAGTCCTCAGATCTCAGTTAATCTAAATGCCAAAACTGGACCACCGTCTTTAAACTACTCAGGAGTTAGTTCATCAGATCCTGCTTTTCTCCCTCTCCTTAGATTACTTGTAGCTTTTTCAGCCCCGCTAAGAATTTGAGGTCTTATATGAGTTTGGCATACAGGTATCTTGGAGATAGTAGATAACTGAAGTGTAGCTGAAAGCTATTCAAACTGTTTTCTAAAGTATTTTGCCTATCTCCTGGGTTGAGAGTGAATAATGTTCACATCTTTTTCCGAGATAGTTCCACTAAGAGCAGAATTTTTAACACCCGCTTCCTTGATAAGTTTCAACAATTGTTTACTGTTTATTATAGCTTCTGCTCTAGCCATCTCTTTCGCTTTCTCTACTCATTACTGCTCAAGTTCATTACATAGGCTTTTTATCGGTTTGCGTTCAAGCTGTTGCCACTCCTATTCGTGTTCGAAGCCAGACGGGATGAGTTTCCGAGCATCTGTTGGCTCAGTAGCCGTCGCTGAAATCCACTGTCTTTTTCTTGACTTTTTCGTTTAAGTTACTCGTAGATATCATTGCTGTTTCAACAGGTTTTTGGATATCACACCGAGGTATCTTGATATGAATATCACTTTGATGTTTCTGAAATATATTATTAACTTTTTCATCAACCCTAAGAGGTTTTGCTTTCGTGGCTTTTCTGGATCCAGTAATATGCAGATAAATACGTGCTTGAGCTAGAGCATAATCTGAGTCTAAACATGTGCTCCAGAATGATCGACAGTGTCCTATCGAACCTCTCCAACGATGTTTGATGGCAATGTTGTCTATTTGAGTCCATCATTGCATGAATTGTGGGGGTTGCCACGTCAAACCATGTTTTTCCTCATGTTTAAATCTGGCGCTTGATAGACATAGACGTTTATCCGGGCATATTATATCAATTGGTCTCCATTTCCTGTTCGCTAAACCGCAACACCATATGATGAGCTCAAGTGTCTTTCCGTTTGGTTTATTCTGTCTACTTGAACATTAAAATCACCCACCATGATTACAACATCAGAGTGTCCAGCGTTTTAAAGGTTGAATGCTTTCCTATAAAATTCATTTTCGATTTCATCCGAGCTGTAATCATTGTGATCGTAGACACCGAAGAGGCAGTGGAATATGTCTCTATCTGTTCGAATCTTTACTTTCCCCTTTAGCTGAACAGCACACAAGCGATTGTCTATTAAAATCCGGTCTAGGAGAGCTCGTTCTTTTTTAGAACTTAGTGCTATACGTACAACAGCGAGGTCACTGGATGTAGCGTTGGGGTCTCCAGATACTCAAGGAGTAAACCGTACCGGTTATTTATATTGGTAAGGTGAGGTCAAACGAATGACTGTACTTGTACCTTGTATGCGGGTTTCGGAGACAGCATACATCGATGGCTCGTGATTCTAGAGTCCTAGCTAAGTAAGCCTGTTTTCTTAACTTTAAAACTCCATATGTAGTTTAGAGCGTGGTTTCATGAGACCATCAATAACATTTCGTGAACTGAAGTCATTAGCATCGGTGGCGCATACTGATAAAGAATACTGTTGTTTCCTTGAACCTAGCTGAACGATTTGGATTTCATAGATCACCTTGCCCCTCTATCCCTTACACAGCAACAAGTGCAGACGAAAATATCCAGTATGTCACCAACCCTTACAGCAGTATCCTTCAAAATTCGCAACGGGAAAAGCAAGATTCTAAAATACAGCACAATGAGGACCAACCAAATCACATTTCATGAAGAAACTTTGTAACTGGTGAGAGTTTTTACGTTCATGGTCAGTATTGATTATGAATTAGGAGGATCTGATGCAGATATGAAAGGAAGGATTGACAAAGCAAGTAGAACATTCATACGATCAAAGGACATATGTAGTTCAAAACAACTGTCAGCCAATACCGGAGTCAGAATTTTTAATATAAACGTTAAGACAGTTCTGTTGTACGGAGCAAAAACTTGTAGAGCTGCTAAAACTATTGTCAAGAAGGTATATGTATTTCTAAGCAATTGTCTACACAAGATACCTCAAATCCACCATCGACAATAACCTACTATGGCAGAGATCCAGCCAGCTTCCAACTGAAAAAGAAATTATGAAAAGAGGCTGGAGATGAGTAGGACATATTAAGGAAATCATTGAACTGCATCACAAAACAAGCCCTAGCTTGCAATCCTGTATGCGGGTTTCGAAGACGCCGCATATATCGATGGTGCGAGATTCTAGAATCCTAGCTAAAGAGACTTGTCCTATCTGACAACTTTCCACGTTTTTGTCATATCTCGTCGTTAATTTGTTACGTCTGATCGTCGCTGATCGTTTTGGTTTTCTCTTTACCAAAATCCCCGTCACCAATTTGGTATATCGGAATCGTTTATCACTTGTACTTGTAAAACGAGGGATCACTGCAACTCCCATGACACAAAAGTAAAAACACCCAGATTGGTACAGTGAAAATTTATTAACCTCAAAACACGACGGCAACCCTATTCGAAAATACACTCATATGTTGGTTTGTACGCATTCCGATTAATAGTTAGAATAAAATCACATATATAAAAAATACAGTTATAACAAATCATATACTACATGACACACTGACCATAGTTCATGTTAATTTCATACAATCGTATATTATACAGAAAAAAATATTGTACGGGAAAACAAAACAAATAATACACTGAGTAACCATTACATTAAATTAAAATGGAAGTAATGTTGAACAAAATGCACAATGAGTAAAATAATCTAATTTTGAATTTTCATTCCGTCATATCACTTTTCTTAATTTTTGTTACTATTGTTCGATCAATCATTTTCATCATACATATTTCTGTAAGTTTTTGTTTCTGTCACTATTCTTTTGTGTCTGCTGCTCATAAAAGTATAGCGCAAAATTTTTTAAGTTATGATGAGCACATTTTTAATTGACATAATAATAACCTACTTGGCCATCTTACTGTTTACTTGGAGTCATTAATTACGCTTATTTGTATCGCATATGAATGTCTTGGGTTCACTTCCTACGTGCGGGGTCACGGATATGTAGTGCTGAAGAGTCCCATACTAGGACGAAACGTTCGTCCATAGTTTTCAGGTATCAGTGTTGATCTAGCTTAGATTATTTCGTGATTTCACTTGTGAAAATACTACAACCTTCACAAATACGTTGTACTTATCTACTAGTCTGGCCGCATATGCAGTTGCTTGTAACCCAAACGACTTGGTGGTGACTTCTATGACTCCGGAACAGAATAATTCTGATCTATCAGTTAAGTTGGTTATGGGGATAAAATTGTAATGATAAGTTTCATTTTTTGATATCTTCAATTTTTACACTTCAATTGTCCGTAGTTTTATTGTTCTGTTGTCAATAAATTCTTTATTATATATTACCGTATTTAGGGCTTGGGGCATGAGCTATCAGATACAGAGATTTTACAACTATTATCACATGGAAGGCTTAAAACTCGTGAATTAGAATCAGTCGTTCGCAATCCATTTCGGGCTGTTGAACTCCGTCGTTCAGATTTGTCAACATTTCTTAATAACCCACATATTATTGAACGCATTCCGTACAAAGACTATGATTATCGTCTTGTATATGGTCAATGTTGTGAAGAGGTAAGAAAAATCATTTTTATTAGTATACTTCTATGAAGTAATTTTTTACCATTACTCATCTGAGTTAAAAGATTCCTTAGTACGTTGGTGTAGTGGTTAAAATTGCTCAAAATTTAATCACTAAGTTTCAGATTCATTCTCTTTTTGACCTACTTAAGTCTAGGCAATTGAGTAGTATAACGTGTGAAAAGTGTGGTTCGAAGACTTAGTGCACGAACCTTCACTTGATTACTCAGCTAAACTTCATATTTGAAAATAAATATATCTGATATTTTAATTATGTACGTACAATTGAACAATAAGTTAACCATAAAATCAGTTCTTGTAAAAGTTTTTTCAGCTTATGTATGTGTCCGCTCAAATAAAACTCTGAATAACGTCGGCAGCTTATGTAACCCCTTGATTTCTTTTACTCAGGAACATCTGAATCATGTATAATGAAGAAGACAAATCCAAACTCAAGTTTCACTTAAAACTATAACAGTGTCCACAAATCAATGTTCAGTCTTATGATCATGTATGACCTCAAGTTTTTGGGATGATCTTGTAAGTTTTTGTGATCAGTAGTAATTGACCTGATGAACAAAAGAATTAGATAAAGACTGTAGAATAACTTGTAGGAAGGTTCCCAATTCGTTGATAAGTGATAATTGATTGATTTTCGTTTTAATTTTATTTTGAAAGTTTGTTAACATTTAGCACTCTGGAAAGATTATTCATATTCTATCCGAGTGTCTTTCAGACGAGAGATGTTTATATATATATATATATATATATATATATATATATATATGAATCACCTATAAAGAACGAGGATAAACAGGAAAGGTGTGGATTTGCGTTACAGTTAATATTACTAGGTTACGCGACCGTTGCTGCTACCTTGACGTGGTGGTCAGGCTTGCCTATCGTAGTGAACCAATCGAGCTATACTGACTGAAACAATCGTTCCTAAAGGTCCTACCATGCCAGACAGGTCGGTTGAATAGCGGTAAGACTAATAGCAGCAAACCCAAGGTCCGAAGTCGTACTGCTGACTGCACAGAGGTGTGACGGCAGTAAGCTGTTTGCTCCAGACAACCAGCATAACAGCGATGCTGGGTGGTTTAGAAAAGGTGGGCCTTAAAATGCACACCTCGCCTTATCTCACGGATATCCGTCTCCAGCGGTAAGGTCCCAACAAGTACGGAGCTAACACAAAAACTACTCACAAAAAGGTCGTGTGTGGTCGACCTCAAGCAGTTGTCCCTTGGGCACTGTGGTCACGCTCTCAGGTCATTGAGACCACTTCTAACCCAATTTCCTTTTCAGGTATCTCTAGAAGAACTTTTCCATGGTGTGGGCAACCAGGAAATGATAACTGCCCTCATACCTCTAACAGCACTCTAGACCACTGTATTCATAATCAATCTCCTTCTTCACTTCCCACTATTCCTTCTACCTCAACTTTCAACACTAAACTTCCTCTTTCGGTTTCCTCCTCAAGTGTCACCATGGCCAACGATTTTAGTGCGCGAAACACCGTCGCAGGTCTACTAAAACCGCGCTCTAAACTACACATTGGAGCCTTCAACGTACGTACCCTATGTCAAATCGGTCAACAGGCCTCCTTAGCTAAGACCCTAGAATCTCGTATCATCGATGTATGCTGTGTCTCCGAAACACGCATACAGGATCCCAGTCTGGTCATTCACTGGACCTCACCTCGCCAAAATGGACAGCCAACGAAATACATCATCCGTGTATCTGGCGACCCCATGACTAGTTCTTGTGGACTTGAAGGTGTAGGCATAGCACTTAGTACGAGGGCAGAACAAACACTACTAGAATGGATCCCCGTTAACAGTCGCCTGTGTGCTGTTCGGCTAAAAGGCTCCGTAAGTACTCGGAAGGATAGGGACACACATCGTTGCCTTTTCGTCGTTTCTGCCTACGCTCCCACTGACTACAGCCCGGATGAAGTGAAAGATGACTTTTACAGAAAGCTTTCTGAACTTCTTCGAAAAGCTAAGCGCTCAGACGTAGTACTCGTAGCTGGTGCCCAGTTAAGTATCTTAAACAAAACAGAAAGACATTTAGGTGGGTGTTTTAGTATTCCGGCTCAACGAACCGATAATGGTGATCGTCTGTTGCAACTATGTTCAGACAATCGTTTATGTTTAGCAAACACTAATTTTAAGCATAAGGAGAGACATCGTCTAAGATGGCGACCACCTGCACCAAACCAACAGTGGACTCACATAGACCATATTGCCATCAGTCATTGTTGGAGAGGCTCAATAGAAAATTGTCGCTCGTACTGGAATACATGTTTAGACTCTGATCACGCTTTGATACGAGCACGCATTTGTCTGCGCCTCACTGGATGCAGAAAAACTACAATAAGAAGACCCATTAGAATTAAACTAGGGGACGCGAATTCGAAAGTAAGTAACGATCGTGAACAGTGGTGGACAACGAAAGCAAAAGAAATAGAAAAGGCAGCGGCTGTAGGCAACGCCAGACAACTCTTCAGACTAATAAAAGAAACCGGAATTAAGAAGTTAATTGTAAGCGAGACAATCTCGGAAAAAGACGACACTCATATCTGCTCTCAGTCCAGATATTTGGAATGGTGGGTGGAACACTTTAAGGAGCAGTTCAGCTGGCCTTCAGCTACTCTGAAACTACTCACCATTCCCAGTCAGAACGGAACATTGAAGTAGGTCCCTCGACTCTACTTGAAGTTCAAAAGGCTGTAGCTAATCTGAAACGAGGAAAAGCAGCCGGTGCAGATGAATTGGCTCTAGTGGTCTTTAAGTATGGTGGTGCAGTTTTAGAGATCAGGTTGACCAATATTTTAGCTAAAATCTAGGAGTTGGACGTAATCCCATCCGACTGGTCACAATCACTGATTATCCCAATATATACGGAGTCAAAATCATCCTGTGATAACCATAGAGGGATTAGTCTGACTAACATAGTATCTAAAATAGCCTCAATAATTATCGGGCGCCTATCTAAGACTCGTGAACTGCAAACACGAGAAAATCAGGCTGGGTTCAGACCTGGTCGTGGCTGTATCGACAACATATTCACTATTCGTCAGGTTTTACAGCACAGACATGTTTATCGGCGTTCGACAGTGATAGTTTTTCTTGACTTGAAAGCAGCATTTGACTCTGTAGACCGAGAAGTTCTGTGGCAGTGTGTGTCATTGAAAGGTGTACCTCAGAAATACATAAACCTTGTAAAGGCTCCTTACTCAAACACTACCAATCGAGTGAGAGCTTACGATGAACTGTCATCTGATTTTGCAACCTCAAGTGGTATCAGGTAAGGCTGTCCACTATCTCCATTTTTGTTTAACTTCATCATAGACCTACTGCTGGAAATAACACTCTCGTCGACTGAATTTTCGGGCATTGATCTCCTACGAGGAGGTTCACTTATCAACTTAGAATACACAGATGACATAGCTCTGTTTGGTGAAGACGCTGACAAAAAGCAGAGTTTTCTGTTAGAACTGAGTAATAATGCCAGGATGTTTGGGATGCGTTTCGCCCCCTCTAAATGTAAATTGTTGCTCCAAGATTGGCCTGCGTAAATACCTGAACTAAAGATAGGGAGTGAAGTAATCGAACGTGTCGACAACTTCACTTATCTTGTAAGTCTGATCAGCCCTAATGGGTTGGTGTCTGACGTTATCTCTGTACGGATTCTAAAAGCACGTTTGGCTTTTGCCAAATTAAGTCACCTATGGCGAAAGCGAGATATCCGTCTATCAATTAAGGGATGAGTATACTGCGCAGCAGTTCGCTCTGTTCTACTTTACGGCTGTAAAACATGGCCATTAAGAGTAGAATATACTCGTAGGTTACTAGTATTTCATCACAAATGTATCAGAAATATTGCTCGCATCTGCTGGGGTCTACGGGTAAGTAATAGTGAGGTTAGATGCAGAGTATTAGGGAATGATAGTAAATCAGTTGATGAGGTTGTTAATCTTCATCGACTGAGATGGGTGGGCCATGTGTTACGTATGCCTGAACACCGATTACCACGACGCGCTATGCTCACTAGTATTGGGGATAGTTGGAAGAGAGTTAGGGGCGGCCAAGTCCAAACGTGGCATCAGTCACTAACTTATAGTCTGAACCATGTTGGCAGATGCAGACTGCTTAGTTGGGGTCCGCGTGACTATCGTAATAAATAGTTGGAGACTCTGGGTGACATGACTCAGAATCGACCACAATGTCGTAGGTGTATACACTTTGTCTTCCCTTAAATTATGAGATTAAAATTGCTTCATATCTTTCTTTCTTCCTGTACTATATCTTGATATACAATCTTTCTTTTATATATTACCACCACTAAATTAACTACTTCTATGAATTTGGTATCCGTCTTTTTGTGCTAATGAGGTATGGCAACTCGGAAACATGCATATTTGTGACTTTTTTTCGTTGTAGCTGACTGAATGACTGTTTACTAGGTTAGGTTTAATGTAAAATCATAGGTTAGTTTCCAATACACAACAAAGTTTTGGACTTTTCATGCGACTGAAGTTTGAACAATTTTAATTACTCACTTTTGATTACTCCTATACACTATTCATAGTAATCTGTCAACAAGTTTGTGCGTTTCCAAATATGTTATTGCACAAATCGAGTTTACATGATTCTTGTAAATTTTGTCTTCTAAAATTATTCAAAGGGATGAACTGTTACGAATACGTCTAGGGAATATATGTATAATAACGGTGAAAGAAACAAATACTGGTTATTGTTCACGGGGGTAAAGATAGAACAAATAATCTATTAAATATATTCACTATTACGGTTTAAAATAAACCGCTACGAATGGCTGACAACATACCGTTTATTAGTTTGGAAGTTTTTTGTTGTACTCATACGTCTGTCTTACAATCAATCTATTGGTTTTACTTGATCATATGCGGTGCCATATTAACTGTTAATCCTTAAAATAAAATAATACTTTTCAAGTTATTAATGCCACTTAACATTTTAATATGGCAGATTTTTTATCATTTCAGTTTTCGAACCCTCAAATCGAAAAATTCCTCAGAATCATTTATTTAAAAAAAAAATAAAAGTAACTTTCTCCATTTATGACAATATCGTAATTATGTATCAACTTTGATGTATGCATCACCATTGTACACTACATGTTTTTTTCGGTAAAGGAAATTATGAAGTATAAAACTCACTAACGTTTTCAAGTGTAACTAGTGTGTTGCCACCTCTATATTGATTGGTCGTTCATGTTTAAAAGTATGACTGAAGTTGATGAGTTGTAAAACTTTAACATTGACGTGCTGTTTGCTATTCTCGAGATCATGTTTTCATCGTAAGAGAGCCACATTCTTTTCTTCGTAATTGCAAACCTCCTAATAAATTATAATTTTTTTAGGAAACGGGAATAAGTACTAATTAGCGGGCTTAATATTTTCTATTTTATTTTTATGCTTAGAACTATATACTCACCTTTCAAACTACGGATTATCAACTTTATGGACTACGTTCATTGTGATATCGACAACTTATTTTCATCATCACCCATATAGATCGTTATCTAAGTAATTCAAAAATCTTAAATTTATATATTTTGGTCTGTTAAAATCTAGGTTATCGGGTACATGCCTATACCAGTTGGAAAAATTGGACCTCTTCTACTAGATGGTCGTTCTCATTATATTCCTTTGGCTACTACTGAAGGATGCTTGGTAGCCAGCACAAATCGGGGTTGTCGTGCAATTTTCTTGGCTGGTGGTATCAAAAGTGTTGTCTATAGGTAAACTTGAAATTGTTCACTTTTGATCTATGTTTTGGCATTCAGTTCATCATATGTAAACCTTGTTTGTTGTTTGTATTTGAATACTTCCATCAGGATCTCTCCCACCCTGGTGTTATACTTAGAATTATTCATGTTGAATAAAGATTGATTCACAACTTAAAAGGAATTTTTCTAATCCCTGAAACTGAGATCTATACCTTTTATCAATGAAAGATTTTAGCTCAGCTACTCGTTTACTCTCTAAAGTGACATGTACTCTTGTATATGACCACTCAATTTCAATTAGTTTGATTTGCATGTGAGGGAATTATCCTAAGCGTATCAATAGGTAATACATTTAACCTTGAATCTAACCAGTTTGTTGAATTGGTGGGTCGTGGCTGTCAATAGAATTTAAGATGCACGTTTTTTCTGTTTGGGACTCATGAGCTGGATGAACCTGCATCCCGGTTTTGGCGTTGATGGTAAGACTCTTGCTTAATAGTTTCAGCTTCGGACCCCAACGCTACTGAGTCAAAATAGTTACTAAATTGTTCAACATGCGTACTATGTTTACATTATTGTCAAAAATTTGTGACAAAATTACTATATCAAAGCAACTGGCACAAGATACACATATGCTCCACCAATACTAATCAAAGCTATGTCCTCAATACCAACAAAAGGGTAATTTAAATCCTGATTCATAGCGATAACAACCCATTTAGTTATACCTGTGTGCGACCTCTCAAATTGGATCTCTTTTATATAAATCGAACACATACTTCATATATTATATTGTATATTCTTTTAAATTCCATTTAATACTATATTTTAGCAATGATGAATTCAGCGAAATTTTAAATTGAGCCCTTAATTTACGTAGTAAATGACAAATGTAAGTAAATTAGTTGAAAGTGTCATAGTTATAACAATTTGGTTGGGTCTAGAATGAGAATAAATGAACAATGCTCCTAATACTATGATACTAGTTCTAACTTGAATATATAGGCTGACGATATATACATAATAAAATATCAGCAAGCATAACTGCACTCGGATAAGAGGGAAGAGTAGAGTTGCAAAAGAGATTTTATGCTTCTAGAAAAGATAGTGAAGTTAGCAAACATTACAGTATATCCAATATTTCATAACACAAAGTAACTAATAGAAATAGGTGTGAATCACGTGACACTACCACATTACAAGGGTCACAATAAGAATATTGTGAACAACTCCAAAAGACTAAGATTGCATTGATTCGGGTCAACTTCAGCACAAAGGTATTTAATAAGGTTTATATAAAGATAACAGTTTGATACATCTCGATTCCACTTATAGTATCGAATCATCAATTTTCGTTGTCTCGCACACGCTAACCGAGAAATCTGTGTTACGTCTCAAGTAAACAGTTTGTTGTACTGAGCATCCCTTGTTGTACTAAGCATATAGTATTGAATAAAGCCATGAATAATAATCTACCTGCCCTTAACTATTTTTGAAACTACTACTAGTCTAACCAACATTAGACTTTGTGTGAGATAGTGTGGTATGCACTTCTTATGCGGACAGTATAAGTAGTATTTAGCAGGAATTGTAAGTGGGATGTTTACCAGCAAAAGATTGAAATGAAGAGAACAGAAAGAAAAACGAAAAATAATTGAAGTAACAATACAATTAGAAGAATGTTAGATTATGTAAACGACAACTGAAGTAATATTTGTGAATGGTGTATTTAATGTATGATTTTCATATTTTACGAAGCCACTTTGTAATTTTGCATATAACAGTAAACTTGTTCACCGTATCTGAGTCTTGGTTGACTATAGTAGTAGTTAGACATTCTTATTGACTGTTTTAACTACCCCATTCAATGAATATTCATGATATTACCAACTGGTACTTGTCATCTTTTTACTACTTTATACCTATCTTTTTCTTCCTCCTTTAGTTTCTTGTTGTAATACTTTTAATTAGCGTAGCAACTTGTGCCAAAATTTCAGTCCAATATCTCGGATTCTATCTCCAGATTTAATATTCTTGAAAAGAATTCACTAAACGTGTTTTGAACACATTTAAGAAGCTATTATGGAGTGAATACTCGATAAGCTAAGTGCTAATCAGATCTTTTGTAACTGTTCTCTTTTCAAAGTACTAATGAGGTGCAAAGGCATTTTGTGAAGTAATTATATATAGATTGACGGGCGCATCTTACTTGTGTCATAATGGGGCAAGTACTGAATAGGTTGAAACTTCTTGTACTAGTTTACAGATTACTATTTATGCTGAGATTGTATGATCAGTAGATAACCACATCGTTGTATTTCAATATTTTCGTCATTAAAAACTTCCAATCGACCTACTGTCTCTATATGTTTTACTATTCTTTAATTACTGCCAAATAAATATGTACTGTTCGCTTCACTCTCTTCCACTTGTGACATGACTGTTGAAATTATGATTCCTTTTTGGCTATTCTGGTTGGTTGGGCTGGATGATTAAAGTATACATATAGTAGTAGCTGACTACTGAATTCGGACAGGAGATCGAGAAAAACGTACGGATAGTGGACCAATAGGAGTATGGCTTGAACTGTATCAGAATTAACTGTGTACTCGTAGTAGATCAAAATTCCTGTCTCGTTTTTCGAAATCTACAAATGATTCGTCCATATATAATATGTATTTCCTGCAGAATTTTTCTATACTCTATTTATTTACTACTTTTTTGTTGATGCACAATTAATCCCTGGTCTTTTTTATATTCAGAGATCAAATGACAAGAGCACCTGTTGTTTGGTTTCCATCAATTATTGATTCAGTGAAATGTATTGCATGGATTGATTCAGATGAAGGGTTCCAAACTTTAAAATCAGCTTTCGATAAAACTAGCGCACATGTAAACTTATTATCAGTTTTTGCTTGTCCAGTAAGTAGCTTATTATTAAATTCTAATTTGTATTCTACTACTAATTCAGGATTTAGATAATTAAGTAAATGTTTTTATTTTATAATTGTTCGGATCACTCCATTCGGCTTAGACAGTATATAAAAAAATACTGACATTAGTTGATTTACAATAAAGGAATAACACTCATCGAGTAGATACGTTACGTAATAATTATGTAATGACATATCGATTATAAACTAATATTAATTAGAAGGGGTTTTTGTGGAGATTTGGTATGTTTCATAGATGAAAGCATGAGTCAATTGAAGCTAGACCACCGAGGAAAACCTGGAAACACTGGACGGCCGTTTCGTCCTATTATGGGACTCCTCAGCATATTAATTAATTGGAAGAAAGAGGATTAATAATAATTAAAGTAATTATTTGAAAATCAAGTTCTTGCTACGTTGCATAGTATATAAAAAGAGAAGAAAGAACTAACAAAATATTTTGATGAATGGTCAGTAATATATTAGTTATGTAAGAATCAAGAGACGAATGTTGATAATAAGTAAAATACAAAAATGGTAGAAAGACGAAAATTGTTTACCAAAGTTCTGCTACAGACTCCGCCATACCGATGGCCATGTAAGGAAAATTTCTTCGCTCGATTCGTTCCTTTTTTATTAGTTAATTTGTTGAATTACCACTGTTCAATACATCGTCAATTCATTAGTGTCCTTAAATGTGGTGTACATTCGTCATTTCAGCTATTAGTTGGACTTTGTCATAAGTGTTGCTTTTAATATTAATGGAATTGATGCACTTCAGTTGGATATGATATTTAAAACAATTACTCCCTCTGGTAAATTTGGATAATGCAATGAAAAGACAAGGTTTATCAGAATTATATGATATATTTGCGCAATACATCTCAAACAATCTGATCACACATATACTTGTTTAAACATTATATATGGAAAATAAAAGGTCAGCTTGGTAAGTTAAAAGATAAGAGGAAAAAAGATACTTAAGTATTGGATGTGAAAACCACTCGGGATAATAAATCAGTTACTTGAGCTGTACATTCGTATTTATAGTTACATAGAAAATATATGTCTATAAAAGGATAGAAAAGATAGCATTTTAAATGGATTCGAGACTCTTATTATGAAATGAGGTTACGCAATAATCAAGGGGTAAGGAAGGGATATAACGATGAAAATAATTCACGGGTCAGACAATTGCCCAATTGAAAAATATGAAGAAAAACGACAAACATAACGGTCATAATAATAACTGAATAATAATCAAGAAAACTTGTTTAATGTAATAATAATAATAACCGATTAGAGTTTAAAATCACAAAACAATTATTTAAAAAATCAGTAATAATCAAATAAAAGTGAAATAAACCAAAACATACCACTAAAGGGAATTAAGGTCAAGGAAGGATGAGAGGTTAAACGAATTGCTTTTGCACTCAAAGTTCGGGCTTGAGTTCGTGGATTGCCTATGTTTCAGCAGTGCATAAAATATTGATTCGACATCCCTTCGATCCAATTCCTTTTACCGTGTAGAGTACTTTAAATGAACTAGTAATTGTTTTACATTCTCCTTTTACAAACCATGCCGGATAGTGTTCTGAGATGTGTTTAGAAAGAGATCGCTTTGTGTGGTCAGTGTAACCTGCTCCATATGAGCAAGTAAATTTATAGATACATATTGATGTGGCCCAAGGCGGAAGTTTATCCTTAACACATTCATGAATGGTGGGCCAGCTTAAGAAAACAATTTTGAGCTTAGCTGCGTAAAACGTTTTATTCAACGATTTGGGAATCAGTTTATTTAAGATTTCACCAGCCTTGTTTCCTGTAAATTCCATATTCATAAAAAGGGTTTTCTTTTGTACTGTCAGTGCCTTTTCAGGATGATGTCTACGTGTTAAGTTGCTATTGACAAGTCTAAATCAGTATTATCAGGGTGGGTTAAGAGTATGAAAAAAAATTGAATACATAAAGGGGTTTTCAGTTTTCCTACAGCCAAAGATTCAGTAAGCCTTAGAATACAGTATTGAACACTTTTGTATAAAACTATGAAGGCTGACTTGATGTCAACCGTATGACCGGTCTCAACCAAATGCCCCCATTGGAGGAAGATATTTTTCTGTTTTGTGATCTCATTCAACCATTAAAATTCATTTGTTTTTTTCTCTTCAAACGTTTAGATATGTGTTCAGCTACCCTTACTTGCAGATCATTATTGCTCCTCCCTATGCATGATATTCCACACATGCATGTAAATTGATGGATTAATTAGAATGGGACACAATCGCTCACGTGCTGTTTGAGTTTTTGGTGAAGCATAAACATTGATTCTTCGAAAGTCATGAACTAGGCTGCGTAAAATTTTTTAATGGTAGCTAATTTAGTTGTTCGTTTTAATGTAAAACTACTTAAGTCACTCTTGATTGGTAGAGTAGTATAGACTTTTTTAGGGTGCCAAAAACATCGTGTGTCTCATCATATTGTTACCTTTTTAACGATTCATTAACTTCAATGAATAATCTTTATTCGTCAATGTTTAAGTTAAGAGCTTCACTTCTCCCTCAACCGTATCGCTAGTAAAATTACGGCTGATCCTATTGAATAAGCCGTTTATTAATCCACATTTGTACTGAATTAGACAGTTACTATGAAGACTTAGATATCCCCCTGTCCATGTTGGCTCTCTATATACAGAAAATTTGATGGAACCATCATCTCTTCTACTGATTAGTACGTCATCTCATCACATTATTTTAATTTCTTAATATGCTAAAATAATCCCGTGTGACATTGTGGTTGGAATTTTTGAAGGGCTCCAAAAGTCGGACTAATTCTTCATTCTTCCTGAGGTTTTAGCTGTCGTTCAGTTGATGTCAATCCATACTGAAAACTATCTCTAAACCTATGCATTTTACTCATGTATTAGTGCCTACGTTTTTGTATCTCTCATTTATATCGCTATATGTTTAAAGATAAGGTGATCGATTCCACACCAGTTATATAGTGTTGGTGCGGCCGATGAGATCAAATTATTACGTATCGATGATCAGAAACAATTACCTCCCAATGGATAGTTTAGACAACATACCGAGCACAAGTATTTGGTGTTCCATCTGATGAAAGCTAGGTGTTAGTTTTCTAAGCATTTCTGGTTCATAAGCTTAAAACTAAACCAACCATCTGTTACAACTATAACTTATCCGTTTAAACCTAACCTTATTTTTTATTGGAAGAAAGTACAACACTTCACTTTGGTTTGTATTCATATTTTGTCCACTTACCATATGATTTCAACAGACTTTCTAAATCATTCAAGAAGCTAAAAGTTCAAAATAATTACAGAAAAAACTTATGGTTAAGTGTGAAACTTCATTGTGGTACCGTAGTTTAAGACTACTGTGACAAGCAACTAAGTTTCACAAAAGTGATACTTATCTATAGAACTATATCCAATTACTATCGTGTATTAAATAAAAGTCTCCATGTCAGTATTTATAATTCTTCACCTTTTGTACAGGCTGGTCGATACATTCACATTCGATTTGCTGCACGTACAGGTGATGCTATGGGTATGAATATGGTTAGCAAAGCCACTGACAGTGCTTTGCATTGTCTAAAAAAATATTTCAGTAATATGCAGGTAAGTAGGTTTTGATGTGTGGGCGAGAATAATAATGATTCTTTGTTTGCTTAGTCAGACTTGTAGATAGTCTGATAGGCGTTAGATGAATTATATATTCTTCTATCCTTATTATTATTATTGATTGTTGGTGGATTGTGTCGGCTTGTTGTCGGGTTTTGATGCAGAAATATATTTACGTTCTAGTCAGGCTAATCACGTGTTATTGATCTTAGTTGTGTTGAAGTTTTGTAGAATAGACATTGGGAGGGAATCTAGTGTAGATATTCATCTAAAGCGAATTAACCTTCTATTCATGTAGACGTGGAAACCCGAGCGTTATAACAGATGCTATTATATTACATCACAAAATTCTATAATTTACTGCCCCAACGATAGTTTTATTTTCTCTAGGTCTTACTCTCATATTTCTGTTAGAATATAGTATATATGTATTAAAAAGGAGTTGACACAACAACTCAGATTTATATATTCTACAGACATACAACTAAAAAAATAAAATTTTATTGTATATTTTTGTGATGGATACCTTCTATTACCAGTTATGGAATTATAAACTAGTTCTCTGTCATCTCTTCTACAACTTGCATAATAACTCACGTGGTCACAGTGCAACTTCTAGGTGTAAGGAACTGTAATTGATAAATAATGAATTTTCCTATTCATGATTACTTTTGTTTCTAGTTTATTAACTTCTATATGTATAATGTGAAACCTTGATACACTAACGTAATCTCGTAAACCTGTAAATCAGTTGATGTAATTACTAGATTTTCAAATAAGTAGGATAATGAGTCAACCATTGTTATTTTTTCACGATATTATCTCTATAATTCGATAGAATAGTTCTTGTCATCATGGTTTCGAGTATAATATCCTAAAATAAATTATTAATTGTTCTGTGACTACTTCGTACGCTATTTCATCCATATTTTTCTCTTACTGATGTATAAATCAATGTAGGTTATCTCTTTAAGTGGAAATATGTGTACAGATAAAAAGCCAGCTACTATAAACACAATTCTTGGTCGTGGTAAATCTGTTATTGCTGAAGCTCATCTATCAGCTGATGTACTGGCTCAAGTGTTACATACCAATGCACAACGATTAGCTCGGTTAACTCATTCCAAAAATTGGATTGGATCTGCAATGGCCGGTTGTCCTGGTATGATGGGATGTAATGCACATGCAGCGAATATTATTGCTGGAATGTTTGCAGCTACGGGGCAAGATTTAGCTCAAGTATGTTCAGTGTAATTGATTATTATCTATCTACTCACATATATAACACTATCCGCTTTTCGGGAAATCCGAAAATTTTTTAAAGTCAAACATTCGCTGAACATCTTGAGAAGTAACCTAAACATTATAACACATAGGCATTGTTTATTCCTCTAAGATATCAAATAAATAGTACGGAATCTTATATACCATGCCTATTTAGATTTACGTCACGAAATCCAGTACAAAAATGCGACGATTCATAACTCTTTGGTCTAATCACTCAGACTGAAAGTGAATAATGGTCCCGTTTTTTTCTAGACAGTTTTTTAACAGCTGCCACTTTAATACCTATTTCCTTAAGATATCGGAATAGTTGTTTTCCGTTACATATCGCTACTGTCTTTGCCATCTATTTAGCTCTCGTTGCTCACCATTGTTCACAATTATTAGGTAAACGTTTTGTTAGTCATTTCAGTGATGTTCAAAAAAGATACAGTTGGATTACGAGGATCCATGGATGTGTTTGTCTTAATACAAAGAATATATATATATATATATACATCACGTACCACAACATTCACTTTAGCAATGTAGATGAAAGTAAAATATGATGCAAAATTCATGTAACTATGTGAAACTCAATCAGGTAAGCCAGGCTAACGCTTTTATTATTGTGTATTGAAAATAAATAAAATCTAGTTATTCATTAATATCGTTATGTCAATATATTAAAATTGATTACTCATTCAGCTATTTATTTCAATGCATGAAGTAGGAGAATTTTCGGTTGGTTCGTAGTTAAAACATCACGCATTATGAGCTCGCGTTTGTAACATTTTTAATTTCACAGTTGTAATCTCTAGAACTAAAACTTTGACAAGTCTGTTTGCCGATTTTGTCGAGAAGGCATGGTGTTCTCTAGTCGGACTTACCACTTTCACTAGCCCATCTGACCCCATTTATGCACGGATAGTCCACCTAGGGGAGTTGGAAAACCCTGATTTCAAACCAGTGGTGCACATGAGCTCCGGGTTTGGCCCTAAGAAAACCACCTTCTTCGGTCTGGGAACCCGAGCAGTATCACAGCCCACACACAAATCAGGTGACTTATATGGCGCATATCTGTTCGGTGCCCCTTTGTACCAATATTTATATGTTCAAATTAATGAATACACATTTATGCAAAATGTACTCATACCAAGGTTTATTTTCGATTAGACGTATTCCTTCACATTCATTTGCGTTTAAGTTTGTTTAACAAATTTAATTTGCAATATTAATCAGTCATTTAACTTTTATGGTTGTCTATATGAAACTCAGGTCAACAAATGGAATTCTACAGAAACCGATTTCCCCACACACAAATGTTTTTATCAAACATCTATTCAAAAGTATTGGACATTGACCGAGTGTCATGATTGCGTTGACTTTTCCTACTCTAAAATAATTTACCACTTATAAAATAAAAACCTACTCCGACTGTATTCACCTATTTCTTCAGTAGGATCTACACCTGAACAAAAGATAGGATATTTTCTCGAATAATCTCAAAATACATATCAAAAGGTTTCTTAATAAATGGTTCTAAATCATCCAACAACTCCATAATTTATTATGTTTCAAAAATGCTTGACAAGTATTTGGTGAATTTCACGATGATGGAGTCTGAATTATTAACACCATGGGTCAGTTCTTAAGCTATAAAGGTCGTACAAGATATTTTTCGTATATTCAAATTAACATTGTCTTTTGTGCTGCTCCATATCAAAACAAAATTAACTTTTATGCTATAGGTTACTGACTTCCATGATAGTTATAATAATCGAATGACTAAGTTTTGTTTGATATTAATAGGTTTAACGAAGCAGAATTCGCTGGACTGATTCTATGAAATGCTTATTACTAGATTGCATGTGATTATTAAATATTTACACCAGCTAGGTTTCCATTTATTTTAGTTAAAACAATATTCAGATTTACACTTGACAGAAAACGGTTTAATTCATTTTTATTGGTTATTTAGATCTTCCCGTGGATGTTGAGGATTGTAAATGGTTAGTCTCTTTTAAACAAGACAGAGGCTATCTGAACTCATTGGCTAAGTGGTTAACGCGAGGGCGTTTGAAGCGACGAGTGATGTGTTCAAGGCGCCGATTGTACGTCAACTTTTGGACGCCGGTACATCCAGATGACGAGTCTCAAGTAGAATGAGACGCGCGTTCTCGATTCCACTGCTAACTACCATTCATTTGTGCTTAGAAAACGGTTTATCCAAATTAGTTTAGGTTAATTAGTCAATGATAGAATTTAAATATCTCACAGATGATTGAACTCACGATAGTTTTTGCAGAATCTTTTGCCTAGTAATTAAACAGAAAGTAATATTTGATTTGACCGCAAGTTTTGCTATTTTCCGACATATTTTAAGAAATGTTGAGTTAAAGTTAAGATTCAATTAGAAGAACATCTCACTATTAACCTACTTATAATGATAATAAAAATTTACAACTAACAATAAATCATCTTCCTTTCAAACATTTATAACCTGTATTCTCCATAACACTGATGTCGTCAGTTACTCATATGAGAATAGATACAAAGTGGTTAATAGTATTGAAACTAACTTATTTATGTGTTGTGGTTATTCAAACAAGAATGGTTTTTATGGGGGTGATATAGAAAGGCTACTGCAACATAGCCGTATTTCGGATCAGCGTTTTAATAATCGCATGTTAATTGTACTGACTAATCATATAAAACAACATATCAATAATCTGAGACAGATTTCTATAGTGTAATAGCATAATGAATATCAGTTTGAAAATGCGACATTTTATAAGACAGTACACATTAAATTTATCTATATCCCCCCAAGTCAGGAAAAAAAGAATGTTAGAATAGGTTAAACTTTATAATTCATTTCCTAATCTGTATAGTATCTGTTCATTACGATTTTACTTTTTTTGTGTTTTTCTCCAAGGTTGTTGACTCATCATCTTGCTTAACACAATTGGAGGTTGATTTATCAGATGACTCACTGGTAGCTAGTGTTACTATGCCATGTTTAGAAGTTGGAACAGTCGGTGGTGGTACACGTCTTTCAGGCCAACGTGCATGTCTTGACTTACTGGATTTAAGCGTCGATCGTCCAACTGAACATTTATCACGGATAATTGCTGGAACTGTACTAGCAGCTGAACTGAGCTTAATGGCAGCCTTAGACACACATGATTTGGTGAAAGCGCATATGCACTTCAATCGAGCCAAGCAATCTACAAACTCTCACTCCTGTAGTCATTCTACTACTACTGATAATAATGATAACATTAGTAATATTTACGATAATCATAATATTGCTTTATCTTCAAAAATTCCCGTTACTGATAATTCAGATATACGCGAATCTGTTCATTCCCTACATGTGAAACCATTTCCTGTTAAAAGTGACTTATCTGTAAATCCGGAGATATCCCATTATACTATGTAGCTTGTATATGTAGACAATTTTACTGTCAGTTTTTAAAACACCCTTGTATATCATTATTAAGCCCTAGATTTGAAGGTTAACAAATAAGTTGTATGCTCGAATCATTTTTAGATGTTTACTTCATTATCCCATGTTTTTTTCCAATTTCTGTTTCCGTACGTTCGATAGAAATAAACAAAGTATACTTCAATATCTTTTTACTAGTGGGCAACTCATATTACTGAAATCATCTACAATTTTAATCATGAAAAGTACTCAGTTATCTCTAATTTTTCTTATCATTTTCGTAATTATATATTCTTGATATCGAGTGTGACTAAATAACTTAACGTCGCTATCTCTGTTACTACTCTGAGGTCGATAGTATTATTCACTCTCTTGATATATAGCTTAGGATTGACCCAGTTATTAAGTTAGAATACTCTGTAAACGTAGTTGTGTGATATGCAATTGGCAACATATATCCAAACGTCATATGTAGACCTTGTCACTTAACGCCTCATAAATCGCTGACATATTTTAGCTTTAGATTTCCTTTCACAACGACTTATCTTCTCATACTTTAGCATTTCTTTTTGTGATATTGTGTTCTTATTGTGCTAAATACTTTAATAAAATTACTATCGTCTAGCCGTTTAGATCTCCTGTTTTGAAAATTCAATACTACTTATCATGCATGAATAGACTATAGTTGTGAACTTCGCTACGACTTACTTAAATGGCATCAGCGTGTTTACATTGTGATTATTTCAGTCTGCTTTATAATTCTTTCACAGTTATCCTGATTTCTTTCGTCGTTGGTGGAGTGACATTTGTGTGTGTTGCTTCGATGTTCGGTGGGTTCAGTGGGGCTGATCTATTCAAAAGTTACTTGAAGTGCTCTACCCATCTGTTCTTGAATTTTGGTAATTGTCTTGTCTTTTTTATCCTTGACCCGTCTCTCTGATTTACTTTAATTTCGATTGTCCTCCATCGTGGTTTATTTTTTCAGTTTATCCTGCAAGGCTTTGAACCTGCTGTTGAGAGTTATTATGAATTAGTTGAGTTTTTTAGTATCTCGTAGGAAGGCTGTATTGAACCTTTGTACTACAGTTTAGTGTTTATTTAGCTCCAAATTCATCTTGGCCACATCCAGGTGGTAATCTGGAGCTATGTCAGCTCCTCTCCTGGTTTTCGCATCTTTCATTGTCCTTCTGAATTTTTTTATTGATAAAAATATGATCTATCCGGTTCTCCGTGGTGTGGTCTGGTGAGACCCATGTAGCTTTTTGTATGCGTTTGTGTGAGAATATTGTGCCACCTATAACCAATTTGTTGAGTGTGCATAGGTTTGAAGGTCTCTCCCCATTTTCGTTTCACTCTCCCAGTCCATGTCGTCTCATGATACCTTCATATCCGGTGTTGTTCATTCCCACTTTGGCGTTTAGGTCTCCCATCTGGATTGTGATATCCTTTCATGGGAACTTCTCTATGATTGATTACAGCCTTTCATAGAACTGATCTTTATCGTCTTCGTCGCTATCAATGGTGAATGCATAACATTGGATAACATTCATTGTGATCTCCTCCTTCTTTATTGTTTTGAATGATACTTTGTTAATTCTGGATCCATGAGATTCCCATCCTACAAGTGCATTTCGTGCTTCTCTGGACAGCATTAGAGCAACTCCATGAGTGTGTGAAGCATTTTCCTCTTCGTGACCGGAGTACAGAAGCATCTCTCCCCGTATCTAGCCTTTGCTGTCCAGCTTGAGTTCAATGGGTTTCATTGATAATTTGTTCAGATGATAATCTAAATCAGTAAATTTATTTAGATGTCAAAAATTTGGATCACTGAATTTAAAAACGTGTTATGTTGAGATCTGATAGTAAACGTGGAGCGTCAGTTTACCTCATAATAAAGTCTCTTAAACAACAATCTATTTGTGATCCTACTTGTGGTAAAATAAACTTACGACTATGGCTTGAGAATAGTACAGGCTAAAAATTAAATTAACAAAGGTCAAGGCCACTACGAAGTGGATACCCTTCTCGATTTCACAATTATAAAATACAACCTTCTGAACCAGTGTAATTCGCATTGGTTTTCTGAAGCACCAGACACTCTCTGGACTATAACATTACAATCTGAACAGCACAGCTCAATCCTGTAGCGCAACCATACAGATATCCAGCACTGGTGGGTCAAAGTGGATGCCCTAGTAATTTCGTAAAGAAATTCTTAGCTGAACACAAAAGTAAGATGCGGACATCGACATCTAAAAAGAAAACTCTAAGGGATATATAGCAGGTGATATTCCAGCACTTCAAGTTAACGGATCCATTAAGACTATGTTCAACACCGCTAAATTACACTTGACTTTCTCAATCAGTCCAATACTGATGTAGCAAATTAAAGGTAAGGATGATAGGGTCAACTATGTGTGTTCATCAGTTTAACTGTTCCTGTGGAGCTAGTTGGATTGAACATACTCAAGGGTCCTTATCCTTAAGCGCTTGTGAACAATAGTTAGATGAAATAGTTACTAAATCTAACAGACTTCCAAGACATTTTTTTAAGATCCACTATACATTCATCTTTCTTATTTTACATTATATTTTTACTAATATTCTTAATGTCACTGTCATGATTGTCACATAAATTACACCAAAACATTTTCCACATTGTATAAACTTGTCTTCACATACTATTTTAACTTAGAACTAAGGATCCTAGGTAAACCACATAACTTCTTACCCTTTGTGCATATGACCTTTTCTCAATATTAAGAATGATGTCATTTCGTTTTGTTATTGGTATGTAGTATTTAAGACTCAATTGACTTGAAGTTTGCAACATGGATGAATTCACTTTTAATGTTTTGCCTATTACAACACAATTATGACAATTTTTGATTTAGAACTTTAGAACCTGAAAAAGATGTTGTCTACAACGACCGTTCATTTTAATACCCTATGTTCTTAAGTATTATATGAGATATCAGATATCTGTCTGACCATTTACCAGCCTATTGGGAAAATCAACTAATCACTATCTACTTTCGCTCACACAACACCTCCCTCACGAAGCTTGTTCGTATGACTTCGGTCATGGATTTGTTTGTAAAAATCTCGTGTGTTTTTATTTACTCACTAGCCTTTGGCTGAATTTCGACTCTGATTCGTTTCTTCTCCGTTAAAGTTGCAGTGGTGGTGTTGATGGTGAAATGTCACATTTCTCACAAAATTGCCACCATCCGAAAACGTTTAAGTTTGGACGACTCGTTATTGTTTTTTCTACCACGTACTTGATTTACATGTCTAATTAGTGTATTATAAAATACCTAACCGTGTATCCAATACGGCCACATACATAAACCGATGTGCCAGCCTTAAACTCACGAACTTTCGAATAACTTATTTTCGTATTTTCATTTTATCTTTCGGATGCGACTCACAAAAAAACATTTCAATCGATCGACCAAACATTATTTCGGATCGTTATTCACCGTTCTGACAATTGAGGTTAGATGTAATTCTACGAGAGATAAGGAGCTGTTGCAGGACTTTTTAAACTTTACCAAAAATTTGTCCGATATGTAATAGGGTCTCAGATGTGGATGGGCTTCGTACAACATAGATTTCAGAAAACCAAAAAATATTGGCCGTTCATTGACGCAGCATAATTGGTATGTACCCGAACCTATGGCTTATTTGTCTCTGTGCATGGGTGGAAATATACTTTTGTTGTTTTTTTTTCGCGGTTTCAGCACACCAATAGCATCTCGATATATGTTCTTTTATAGAGAAATCTATAAGTGGTCAATGGAAATAAGTGTGCATGATTTCAATCATTCTGTTTGTTCACTAGTGATCTATTTAAAACTGTCTGAGAAGAGAAGACTGAAAAGATATCAGAATGATAACGCAATTACCAGACATCAAATAAATGTTATAAATTAGGATAGACTCACGCAATAACAGTAATCGAAGATGATCCCGATGCAATTTATCTTCATTCCCGTTCCTCCAGTAAAGTATCTCTTATATCCTCAAATAGGGAACTATCAATCATCGCTACTTTTACCGCTTCAGTTGTTACTAGTAGGACTCTGACAGCATTACAAAACACTCCTCTTATTTCCAGCTTGAGTGATATAGAGGTAGTAACATCATTTTGTTCTACGTGGAGGTCATTCTCAATTAACCGCGACAACTCATCTTCATTTGCCATATCAACTAACGGCTGATACAGTAGCTCAAAATCAGATCAGTCAGTCACAACGTAGAACTTCGTACGTACGTACATCAGTTCGAGTTGCCATACCACATTAGCACAGAGATGCAGTTGTCGATTCAAATCTCATAGTGGTAGAAGTAGTAGGAGTATAATCAGAAATCCAAAAGATTAGGGTTTGAAGAAATTATTGAAGGAGTATAGTACAGTGAAATAAATTTGGAAAGAGAAAAAGATAAAGACATGTAGAATTCAGAAGATTAGAATTTGGTAGAACACAAAGAGTGGATGCACCTTCGCCATTGCGAACGATTTTGAGCCATGTCATTCAAGGTCTCTAACCATCGGTTGCTGTCATCTCGCGAATCCCAACCAGGTAGTCTACACCTACCAACATGGCCCAGTCCACTTGTCAGTGACTTCATTGATTTGTGCCACGTTTTGGTCTGGCCACGCCTAGCTTTCTTCCAACCTGCTCCTACACCACAAAGCATTGCACGTCGGGGCAGTCGGTGGTTGGGCATACGTAACACATGTCCCAGCCATCTCAACTGATGAAGTTTCACTACTTCATCAATCGATTTGCCATCCCTACCTAGTACTCGTTTCCTAACAACTGCACTACTTACCCGGTGGTCCCAGGATATACGAGCAGTGCTTCGAAGACACCTATGATCGAACACTAGTAGCCTACGAATATCCTCCACTCTTATTGGCCATGTTTCACTGCCATAAAGTAGGACGGAACGGACTGCTGCACAGTAAACCCGTCCTTTTGTTGCTTGACGGATATCTCGCCTACGCCGTAAATGACGCAAGTTGGCGAAAGCTAGACGAGCCTTCTGTATCCGTGTTGAGATTTCGTCACACACCAGACCACAAGGGCTGATGAGACTCCCAAGATAAGTGAAGCTGTCAACACGCTCAACTACTTCACTCCCTATCATTAGTTCAGGTGCCGATGCAACCCAATCCTGAAGTAACATTTTGCACTTCGAGGGAGAGAATCGCATCCCGAACATGCCTGCATTGTTGCTTATAGTGGTCAGAAGACTCTGCATGTTGTCAGCGTCTTCACCGAATAAAACTATGTCGTCGGCGTATTCTAAGTCAACAAGTGAGCCTCCTGGTAAAAGTTCAACTCCTGGAGATTGAGATGATGAAAGTGCTATCTCTAAAAGTATGTCAATGACAAAGTTAAACAAGAATGGGGAGAGTGGACAGCCCTGACGAACGCCACTTGTGGTAATCAGTTCTTATGACAGTTCGCCATAGGCTCTAACTCGACCAGTTGTGTTCGAGTAGATAGCCTTTATGAGGTTAATGTACTTCTTTGGTACTCCTTTCAGTGACAAACACTGCCATAGAACCTCACGATCAAAATTGCTTCTGTCATAAACGATCTTGTGAAAATCCCGGATCATAAACATTACCTCCAAAGTCTTCTTTTCAATTTGACTGTAATTCTTTTCAGTTTCACTGAGCGGCACACTTACTAAGGACAATAGAGGGCAATAAAATGGTGTGAGAAATTAGGACGAGAATCTATTGTTAGAAGTTAATGTTACAAATTTGAGTTAGGGTTTTCATCATGAACTATTAAAGTGCTAATCAGCTATTTAAATGAATGAATTTCGCGCTAAAACCCAAGAGTTCTAATCTTAGTTGCAATTGGTTCTTCCATAAATTATACTCCGATTGTGACAGTTATTAACTTGCGTTCGATGTGACATGTCAATTCACTATGCATTTCATTCAGTATAATTGGTGTAAACTTTTGTTCCCTGTATCAAGCTTGGTGAACCAGATTCAGTATTTTTGTAATAAATATGTACTTACCTCTGTATGCAATATTATTCAGCAATATGCAATATTATTAAGTTAAAAAGTCGATGTATAAATAAGCTTATCTTGGTTTGATGATGATTTTTTTGGACTTGTATCGGGAATGTGTTTTTAAAGATTTAATAAATCGTCATTTGCACCAGTGTGTTCTTAATTTGCTTTGTGGGAATTACAGTCGTTTCCGATCGTCGTGTATAGGCAATAAGACAGCTGATATAACAGACACCACATGGAGACAACAATAAGTACTTCAATTTGTTATGACATTAATCCACTATTTTAACTCTCCAGCTTCTTTTATTAAATATCGTTTAATAGGATGATTCCAACTGGAAAAGAATATTTTGAAGTTTTACAGTTGGATTGTGATCTATCAAGTGAACCGATTTAGTGTGAAAAGTAATACTAATTTAAGATAAACGAACTTAGTTCTTTATCACGAACAATTTTAAGTGAAAGAGGTAACTCACCACAAACTTATTCAATCTGGAAATAGTTAACTTTTCAATTCACAGTTATTTCCAAGTAATTCTTTAATTATTTCCGATTAGTTCTTGAAGTAATTCAAGAAAAAATCGAAAGTTCATTTTTGCATATATATATATATATATATATATTAGATGGTGGTTGGAGGTGGTCAACAGGAAACCCTGGACCCGGGTTTCGTGCTACATGGCACTCGTCAGCAAGGTGTACCTGTAATCTTGAGGGAACTGGTGCTCCCTGACGGATTTGATCCCGTGTCACTCAGCTTCACAGTCAGAGTCAACATAGTGCACGCAGTATATATATATATATATATATATATATATATATATATATATATATATATATATTCTTAAGATTTTCGATGAGAGTATACAAACAACCTCCAGATACTAACGAAATTGCACAAGATTTCGGGAAGTTTACTTGACGAAACATGTTAATTGATTCTAAGCGCCGAAGTCTATATATCGTAGTGCTCTATATGATACAATTTTCGCAAGCTACTATAATTTCTGTAACACGGGATAAGAGCATTTGGTTAGTAAATGATCCACACAGAGAATATTAAAAGCTATTATTATACTTTAATTGATCACTAATACATATTTAGAAAATTCATAGAACAAAGCTAGTGAATTAATACCTAGACTATGTGGATTGTCTATGAAATAACACCATTTGGGTTATGTGATCCTGGACACTGATAAGACAACAGTGTTAAATGTTTCAGTAAGTGAATATGTTGTCACGTGTTAGTGCATTTAATTGTTTCAGAGATACTAATATTATCTCTTAAAACCACTTGACAAGCAATTTTGTATAATAGGTACGTCCCATTATATGATTTAGTATTGGTGTATGATTACTACAATTATTGTATATTTTAATTGCTTTATTTTGTCTGTCTTTAATAATACCATGATATGATTTCATACTTGTGACTTCAAATCCGGAATACCCATTCCCCCTTTCTGTGTCTGATTAAAGTTTTACTGTATGATTGCATCACTACCAATTCGTAATGCAAAACTATATTCAGCCTCTAATTCTACATATTTCAAAATAACTATCTATGACAAACGTACTCATTCATACAAAAGTAGGAAAGATAGTATTACTGAGACGTAACCAGGCAAGTGTGTCGTACATTTTAGAATGTGAAGATAAAGTAGTTGAGATAATTACTTCAGGGCAAGACAATATCGAAGACCTATAATAGATTTGCTCAATGACGGTAGACTAAATGGATGAAATACGTGTAACTCTTTTCTATTTATATGAAAACGTCGGAGATATAAGCATCTTTACATTTGTTAGTACTGAGTATGTGAACTTCAGATAACTTTGTGAAGCTGGTGATACCCCAAAATGGAAGGAATAAAGAAGTTAGTAAACCAGGTTACGGACACTCATTGTCTAATACAAGATATAGATTATGCAAGCCCAAAGATGTACTACACCCACGACGCAAAACTAGTGCAAATCCCTAACGCCTACGACACATGTTTTGAGCCTGATAGTAAGCTGTAGATATCCTGAAAGGTTGTCTTAAAAGTACTAAAACTCGTGACTTGGTTGGTAATAAACCTAATGTCAACTGTCCTCCATCTGGTTGTAGATCGCGCAACACTATAAGACTAGTTATCTGTTACCCTGTTTCCTAGTATCTTACTACTGATGCTTTTATTGTTTGCACTTGTACTGATATTTCCCCACGTTTGCGAAGTGTAACAATTCAAAAGGACAAGCCATTATGTATTTGCTGCTAGTAAATGATGAGTCGTACTTTTGGCCTCCGTAAAAAAATATCGAAGTCATGAACTTGGTGGTTATAAAGAAAAGAGCCCGTCATAATATTCATCATCTGGAGAGGAACTATTAAAGAAGCGTATGAAACTGTCAAAGTAGACGAAGTATCACTTAGTGAACATTAATCGATTGCATTTTATGCAATAGACATCTCTCCTTATCATCTGAATGCGTGAATAAGTTGAAATAGCAGGAGAAACTTATCCCTAAGAATGATACAACTACCTCTTTTTTGATGTTTGGATAAAAGCAACCCGGAAAAAGTGGTCGCTGGTTTGAATTTATCTCAGGGGTTATTACTAACTATCGAGTTCATAAATAAAGAACTCCTAATTTATTAGTCCTCAGAAAATAATTTTAGAACGTAGTTGAATCTGTAACATTTGGTCACGGCATACGATCACTGTAAACTAGTGAGCATAACACCATAGTACACAATCGAAAACATTGATCATCTGTATCCGCCTAATATGCCGAACAAGTATACCATAATTATAACAGTACCTCACATTTGAGACCTTGATGCTGATTAAGCAACAGACATTACATAAAAGCCAATACCAATAAACCTAACAAGATTACGCAAATGCCAAGTTAGAAGCGCTTATAAATCGTGGCATCAAGAAGTATAGACGGGTAAACTTCCTAAGCCACACCACCACGGTTAAATGTGAGGAGCAACATATTGTCTGTAAGGGTTTGGAGTAACACATTTGCCGGATTTCAGTACTAATTAGAATGTGGAACTGACACGCATTCTTTACTATAGTCTCAACATACGAATGGGATAAATCGGAGGACATTTACGATCAGATATTGCACTCATCGAAATCATCTGCAACGGGCTTGGTTCTCATTAGACCATTGGGTTTCAGTGACGTATCGCAATCTAAAAAGGAAATAGTTTGATAGCAATACAACCAAGATAACAACAAGTGTGCTAGGACAACTGTAGGTTATTTAAGACAGCTCATTACAAATCAACGGAGTCGGAATATAGGAACTCAGTAGGAATCCTCACTGTATATTAAAACAAGACAATAAATTGGTCACAACAATTTATATTAATCACGAAAAATGATAAATGTACAGATTTGGAGCAGAGAATCCTAACTTTAAAAAAAAACAGCAAATAGTATTCTTACCACAACTAACATCACATTTTACAGCTCATCGTGGTCACCAGATGGCTCGTCTGATGCTTTTGCATCGTCTGGAAGCTCTTTTGGTTCTTTTGTTTCCTCAGACTCCTCTTTGTCATCTTTTGCACTTGACTGTTCTTTAGCAACTTCAGCATCGTATCGTTTTCGCCACAGTCGCTCGCCCTCTTCCTTAGCGAAATCCGGACTGTCAGTAATTAAAATGTTGTCAAAGATTGACCCTGAATCGACTTGCCACAGATCAAAGCCGACATAACCGATGTCATTCAGGACATACAATTCTGGATCATGTTTGTATTCTGGATTGTCAATCTGTACAGGCTTCCATTCTCCTTTGTATTTTGGATTATCGATACGTCTAGGTGTCCATTCGCCTTTATATTCCGGATTGTCTTTTTGAGGACGTTCCCACTCACCATCCATAGCATCATCCCAATCATCTGGCTTTTTGGCATCCATATCAGGTATTGTTTTGGGCTGATCCCAATTATCAGGTTTTTTGTCATCCGGATCATCGATAAATTGCTCATCAACCCAATCATCAGGTTTCTTGTCATTTGGGTCCTAAAAAGGCTTATAAATTATATTCAGCAACCCTACATCAATCTTTTTGGGTGGAAGCATATCCCAATCATCTTCCAACGATCCTTCTTCCACTTTCTCGTTATCAACTAAAACTTCGTATTTGTTGTTTGGATTCACGATTAATGTGTACAGATGCGTTTTTAGGTCATCTTTGCAGGGTATTTCTTTTTTAATCAGGTTATTTTTTCCCTTATAGTTGAAAATGACATGGACTTTCTTTGTGGCCATACCGCAAATATCAGGACCTGAAACAAAATTACGAAGTAAACTAGAATTTTACCAAACATGATCTTGTAAGGTGACTCGCCGTGAAATTTTTTAGGATCAATATCTGAACCAAGAAGTTTAATATAAGCTCCTCCGCAGCTGACAGTTTTGTCAAACTTGACGGTAAATTGGAGAACCATTGTTTTGTCACGGTTGCTGAACGGTTCAGAGATCTTGCGGGCAATACCATAAAATCTGGCATCTTGAGTTGTTTTTAAGCCCAAATCCTCAATTGGGTCAACTGGAGATTTCCCAGCTTCTACTTTGAATTCTCCTTGCTTCTCGGCATTATATGTTGATTGCACCCAATTCTCAATAGATTCTGAAATTATCAACAAAATAATAACTAACGATTTGAGTTACCATTAGGAAAAGTTTCCGAAAACCATACTTCATGTCCCAGGGCGTATTTTGAAAGCAACAAACTTAACAAGATAGAGAGCATCCTGACAGCCAAAACCGTGTTCCGTTAGTCATATCACGACCACAACACTTATATAAGTAGATCGCGACCAATCACAGAACTCCACAAAAGTGTTACCGAACAATTTTCAACCGTTTAAACAATATCTTTCAAGAAACCCACATTTTAACTGAATAACAATAGATTTTATCTGTATATGTTTCACAAATCCATAAAATCAGTAATAAGGCACACTTTTTCACACTTCAACTGATCGCTACAGAATTTTGTCATGAAATATCATTTATTTAGTGCGAGACATACAAAACTAACAGAAGCCATCTTCTTTTAAATATGTTCATAATATAAGATCTTATTCCCCGTAAATCAGTTATACTTTCATTATTTTATCAAGCCCTAGGCAAACTATTCATCCAACCATTCCTACTTTAGACTGCAGGTCACTGAATTTCAGGGTCAAGGGTACTGAACACGGATTAATCAATGAAAGTCTACGGACTAACCTATGCAGCAATCTCCTTAATTTACAATCTCGGGGATCTCAACATTTTCCTGCCAATCGAGCAAAACTGTCATCTACATTGATCATCCATATTGATTCTCTACAAGGTAATGGTGATCCGTGAGTAAATTAGTAGCAAGATAATGGATCTCGTTTGGGATGACGTTCTAAACACTGTATCAAATCCGAAGATTTTTATCTGTTGAATCAGCTAAAGTAAAACTACTTCCATCACCTGATTAAAGTCCGTAGTAAAACTCCAAAGATTGATGATTGTATTCTGAAGACGATAACACATCAGGCCTTCGAAATTCCTACTATGGAGGATCGAACCTTACAACACATTTTTAGGGAGGTTTAGAGGTTTCACCTTTGAATGACCGCATTCTGACAGTAGCTAACTAGTTAGTTGTAGAGTTGTTAGCACACCTAGAGTTGTCTTTAGCAATACAGACACGAAGAAGAGTTCGTATATTGCGAACAAGATACTACTATTATCATCATGATGATCACAGGGAATTTAGAGGTTGAAGACGTCATAAATTGGTCGATAGGTAGACATTGGAAACCACTCACATTTATTGGGACGGATGGTAGATACCAAATAAGAATAAATTAAACACTGAAATAAACATATAACTATCCATTATTTTGTCTGTCATCCTGGACGTGTTATATTTCATAACCTCAGGTTGACCACAGCTAAAAATCAGACTTTTTTAGTCCATTTTCATGGTCGTATATATTCTTCCCACATATCTCGATAATGGTAGAACGACGTCAGTCTACTTTTCAAATCCGATGTTTCCTAAACGGTCAGACTTTACGGATATATTACTGATCATTAACTTATTAAATCGTATTTGATATATAAAACTCCATCATTTTTGGGGAGAATGAATATAGCTTAATCACATGTTAGCCAGAGATCTAAAGGTGCAGTTGGTTGCGTTCAACCCTAGTAAAGTAGCAGTGTTGTTATATCTCGAATGTCATACAAATTTCCGATACATATGCTCAAGGATCGATCAAGCTAAAGTTATAATAGTTTCGCTAGCTTGAAACAAGTCATAACGTAAATGACTCGATAAACTCTGATGTAGCTTGTTAAATGTTCAGTGGTATTATGCATAAGACGCTAATTTATTAATTTGTTTCTCATGTGTGGGTTACATGAGATTTCTACAAGCATCGAAATGTATACACACTGAAGGACTGCACAAAGAGTACTGCTCTGGTAGTGATGATATAAAGAGTACACAAACAAATCAAGAAACGTTTGCAATAAATGTTCATGAAAATGTACCAGCTAAGTGTTTAATATATTTGAGTAATGGGGCTGTGTTACAAGTTTATGATTATTATAATGTGAATGGAAGGAATGTGCTCAGTATAAGCAGTGGAATTCACAACCGCGTCTGTCTGGAGTGTCATCCAGGTTAATGTGGAAGTTCCATAACTGATTGCTAAAATATGCTACTGATCACGTAGCGCGACGCGCTTTTTAAAAAGGACGGTGATTTTGTGCTCTTAGGTTAACTTCGGTTCTGTGTTTTTGTAGTATCCAAAGCATACTTGATCAACGTTAACTTCAATTATTTCGGATAAGGTTTGGAGTTTTCTTCGAATCCGTTTGGCGATACTATTTTTCAGTTGATTGTCAGACTAGTAATATGGAGAGCCGATCAGAAGTAGTTAATGGTCGACTGACGGCAATCGGAAATAGCCTAAAGATCAAGTACATTTCTTTGTGATCGATAGGTCAACTACTTAAGGATAGATTAGTATATAAGTGAACGATTAGTTGTCTATTTTATTTGGTGTACCAATACACTTTCTCGCTCACTCCTGTGTTCTTCCTGAAGTTATCAATTCGAGGGGTAGCGCGTAGCGTTCCGTGTGCTAGCATCAGATTACCGACACCTCGCGTCACAACAGTAGCTGTTTAAGTCCCATTGCATACAAAAGATTCCAGAAGCCTAACACCCAATGGCTTGTATGTTTTGCCTTATGAGTAAGACTTAACTTATCCAAGAGGCAAATACCCTTCTGGTGTTGGTCAGCAAGATAGTTTACAAGGGTTGGACTGTCAACATGAGTGCTAAGAGCAAAGAACGTGCCAGTGATGTGAGGTCTGTTACGGAACGAGCAGAACACCTGGCTGCGAAACACTTTACAAGGGCGATCTTTTTCGGAACATATAGAGAGTGGAATATCACTGGATTTTGGTGGTCACGATTTCAAAGTATTGCCTGAAGTCCGAAATAAAACCATTATCGTTTCAAGTTGTCATGATGTATCTATTCTTACTGAGGAAAAATGGATGGCTGTAGAAACAAGGAAAAGGAAGTAAAAAGCCACAAACAGCTCCCGATCGGGTGATAAGTCTTTGGCAGAATTTTCGTGCCGGTAGGTACCCCACGTCCAACTGACAGGGAAAGCTAAAGTAGTTGTGAACAGGTCCTTATTTTTAGATCTTGAAGTGTGGTATGGAGCACCAGATTGCTTTTTTAAACACACGAAGTTTTTGAACATTCAGCACAAAATAATAGGAAGTATGATCCCTGTACAAAATAATGAGGCGAATGAATACTTGAGCTTTAATGTTTTGAAAGTTTTTTTGGATGTTTTTTTCGACTTTTAACCAGTCAAACCAATGTTTTGCGGACTCACATCATGAGTCACAGAATACTCCTCTTAAGTCTCAAAGTATGACTAGACTTAAATCTAGCGAGGTTAGAAAAAGTTTAATCCCATCGAATACCATCTTAAGTAATTTGCTCGAATCAAACAACTCCGAATCAAAATTAACTAAAAAAATCCTGCGGTAGTTAACTGGCAGGAAATGACAAAACGATGAAAAGCCATGGACATGACTTTCCGACAAGTCAAATTTTCTCTTAACTCTTTTGTTTCGAACCTCGAGGAGTTAAAAGAAAATGACCGTACAAATAGACATACACGCGATCTGGAGTTAAAGGAATCTGTCGTCAGAAATGAATTGAGAGAAGAGGTTTTAGAGGTCCATATTACTGACATAATAGGACTGGATTAGTGAGTTGAAGGTGAGACCCAAGCAAAAAGAATGTTGAAGTTAATAGTCAGAAGTTACGAAGAAAGGGACTTCATTTTATATAACTCATACGTTACTCGTAATTGGAGTATTTTTATTCGAACAGATTGTTCACTTGAGGATCGAATCAAGTGGGAGGATGATCTTACTGAGTCTAGTCATGGGTTGCTGATTATATAAGGAATATACTGTGGTCCACGTCGTCTTGCCCAAAACTTTGTTTTAAGTTTTATATATATATTCTTAGAGTATGGTTGATTTTTGCCACATCGTCGGAGATTTCAACGCACTGCATATGAACTGGATAGCGCTTGCAACTTCAAGTGGATGGTTTGACAGAAGCCTTCTGTCAACCATAATTCGGTGAGTACTTTGTTTAATTGATATTTAGTTACGGTGGCTGCCATACTGATTCTCTTCCCTTTTTCATTGCGCTTTTCGCATTAACTGTAATCGTGCATTTCGGATTGTGAATTGAATCATTCTCTGAGGATTGGAAACACCATGTGTTATAGCGAAATCAAATATGACATTTCGAATAAGCTGTGCGTTATCTATCCGGAAAGGATAGAATAATACTTATTCGTCGCATTTGGCAGTTCTCTTATATCCTTTATCGATTGACTTGTTTCAATGTAACTTGAGTTTAACCACTGATTGAACGACTATTGTTTCAATAACTGTATGGTAATATTCGACCTTAATAGTTATTGATTATTCCAAACGTATTTATTTTGAAAGCTACATGCTCCGCCTCGTCTCACTATCTGACAGGCAAATATTCTGACAACCAGACATTATGACATCTCAAAAGATTGGTTGGTCAATGAAGACCAGTTGATTTATGATGAAAGGGATAACTTAAGTGCCATATTAGAGTGATCACCAAATTGCCCTCCACGAATCGATAGAGGACTTCGAAGGTAGATGAGGAATGAAGAACATTTCTGGGACTTGCCCTTATCAACAGGCCTTGAAAAATCTGGAATATTTGTAAAAAGACCACAGCTAGAAGCCACACCACTTGCGAGAAACGGCTGGCATATGGTAGCTGTACCTTCTCAAAATGGTTGTTTCGTAAAACTAAACAAGGAACAAAATGCAGTGATGGTTTGTTTGAATACTTGGGTCACCCGCTTTTCGACTAAATACTTCAACAAATTTTCTGTCTTTTTCGTTCGTTTTACCACCTCAACCTACTCAGGCGCGTTTATGAAAATTTTACGATCTTTTACCACACAAGTTACAAAGAGTACAATCAAAACCATCGTGGTGGCTGGCAGTGTGCTTTGAAGAGAATGATCATTAATTATACGTCAATTCCTGAAGTGCTGAGTTTCAATTGTTGATCACTAATTAACAAGGTGGAGTATCTTCAATTCTAAATGAGTTAAAAATGCATCGTAATAAACCTCTGCAGTACGTTTGAATTTTGTGTTACGATTACACGGTATCTTTTATAAAGTGTTAATATAGCGTTGAATCCTAGTTTATAAATCAATAATAACATTAGAATTAACCTTTCAAGTAAAATGGGTCGAGTAACAGAAAACGAGCCCTGA